CGGTCAGAGGCCCTATTGCAGGACCACCAGGCCATACACAGACGAAGATGAACAGATAACCATCACACTCGCAGCTGTCCAGTGCACTGCTTTGGGAAGACTGCAGTTTTGTGTTTTCACTTTCGCAATAGATCGAAAGAAGCGCCAGGGTACCACGAACAAGGTTGAAAGGGGCAGAATAGAGAAAATCATTGTTTATTTTATCGCTCTAGTAAGGGAGGCTTCTCTTTTGATTGCTGGTCTTTGTTCACATAATACAACCCTTAACAGTGAGGACAATGCAAAGCGGATTTGGGGACTGTCACTCATTCACAGTCCAGCTTTACAGTCACAGGGCCTTGCATGCAGTTAAAAAATCTGGCACAGCTTTGCAAAAGCGTACCCCTGTAAGCACTGGGTGGATGAGTGCAAATGTGACGGGGGTCCATACCCAATTAGGGCAGCAGACACATGTGGATCTGTCTGCAAATGTCCGTCTGGGAATCATCTTTTGTCACAAAGCAATCACATCCTGACAGCAGCACATGCTCTGCCACAGGCTCCGTGGGTCTGCTGGACACGTGGGCCATATGCCTTCCTGTGGTTGCCCCGGGGTTCCTCCACTCTCTAGACATACTCTGATACGCACACATATTGTTGCCCTGCACATTTATAACAGTGTTGTTACACGCGCACATCACTCCCCTTCAAATGTCACACACACACACACACACTATCTGGCGGTGAAGGGTTTCTCCATCAGCCGAGCACCCTCCCAGCCCCGGGCCAAAGCATTTCCCATCATGGATGTGACGGTGGCAGCTTGTCTCAAGCCCCAAAATCTGCTACTTTTAGTTCAAGAGCATGATTCGTCTGAGGAAAAAGAGTGTCAGAAATATGCCAGTATTAGGATTAGTAGCACTGATGGGTATCTGTAAAAACACTCTCATGGATAGCAACAGTTTAATTTGTATGTTTTGGTTTAAGTTGGTATCCGTTATGCAGTTTGCCTTTTAGAAAGGAAGGTTCCCGGTGTCTTCGGCTCAGTGGAGAAACCCATCATGTAAATATTGAGTAGTAAAGGGGCAGAAGGAAGTTGAAAGTGCTGAATGTTATTTTTCTTTCTCTTTTGGATTTTTTAAATGACAGAGAGGCAGCTCTACAATCATTAAACAAACAGCTTTCAGTGGTTGGGGTTAGAGTGAGCCCTAGCTGCAGGCTGTGTGTGTGTGTGTGTGTGTGTGTGTGTGTGTGTGTGTGTGTGTGTGTGTGTGTGTGTGTGTGTTCATACCAGTGTGCTTCTCAACATTCCCACTTCTTAACACTCAGCTCCAGAGTTGGCAGGTTTTGACAGAAGCTGCTGATCGCATGTCCTTCAATTAGCTGTCTTCTCTTTTTTTAGCTCCAAAAGCGAATTAGCTAGACCACTGCACTTTGCTTCCCTCGGCCTGCAGGTCGACATGCTGTTCAAACGCGGCCGGGGGAGTCTTTAGGCACGGGATGAGTCTGAGGGGGCAGGGTGGTAGGTTCAGCCGAGGGAAGACTGGTTTTGATCGTTTTGAACTTCAGAGCGAGTCTGAGGGAACTGTTTGTTTGTCTCCCCTCTGGCTCTGCTCTGTTTAGGGTTCACAGTACCGTGATTACCCCGATGTGACTGCTGCTGTCAGGGGATTGCTCTGACACAATGCTTGTGTGTTTCTGTCTGTCTGCCTTGTTTGTCTCCACATGGTCGTGTGTGTGTGCGCGTGTGTGTGTGTGTCTGTGTGTGTGTGTGTTTCCGTTTCCAGAATGTTTTTTTTATTGCATAAATGATCTGCGGACCTTTTCTTATGTTTGTTTGTTCAGACTGTCAGTGTGTTAATTTGTCTGCATGGTATGGCAGTGCAACAACTGTTTGTTTATCCACGACACATTTCAATGCTGTTCCATACTCTGAAGTACATGGAGTTGACGTGGAAAATCACATCCTTAGTCTAAGTAATTGAGCATGAATGAGTGTTATTACCAAGTTGACAATAATGGTTGTTTATCAATACTGCATTACAGGTAGCTGTGTGTTTCTGTCTCTCTGTCTATATGTGTGTCGTTATAGCTTTGTGTCATGGGTAAAGTGTTTACAGCTCAAGGAATGTTCTGCAGAGGCCTACATGAGAAACTCAGAAAAAGGCGTTCTGCATCGTCTAGCCCAGAAGGTCTACTTGTGCTTTAAATGTGTTCATCATATTTGTACTGTAGAGAAGAGCAAAGCTTCCCCTGTGTTTGGCTGCACGATCGAATCATTAATCAAAGGTGAAGGATTGCTGTTATAGTGTATACTCCCCTCACAGGTCAGTATTGGAGCCCCTCGCCCAGTGGGACAGTCCCATGCAGGTTAAGTTGTCCTGCTGGAAGTCCGGGCTGAACACCCTGCTGGTGGAGCTGCTGCCTTGGGCCCTGCTGGCCAACCACTCCCAGTGGGACCTCTGGCTCTTCGAGGGAGAGACCATTGTGCTGCAGATACCAGCCGGCAAAATCATTGTGCCCCCCAACTTCAAGGTATGGTGCCATCTGCATATTTGTTTAGTTGTCCTCCAAGGGACCGATATTAAAAAGAGCGTTCTAAAGTCCACCCAACTTGCAAACTCAGAATGACTTCAGTTTCTGATGTGAGCTTCACGACTATATATAGATAATAACTTCATCAGGGTCATCAGAACTGTCCCTTCACAGTCACAGAAACCAACGTATACAACTGTGTCAGGCTGAGCATTACTCCTGCTGACAAGTAGACTCGCTGTGTAAAAGTACGTTCTTTATTTTTTTTATACCATGAACACTGTTTTGCCTCCGTGCCGAAGCCATTCTGTTTTCGTCATCAGCCCATTCTCAGGAACCCTTGGAGAGACTTTTTTCAAACTTAGCACAAACCACCTGGACTCAAGGATGAGATGTTTACATTCTGGAGGTCAAAGGTCAAAGTCACCGGGACCTGACTTTTAACAAATTTCCACCTTTTGTCTTTAGACCAAGATCTAGAAGTCTCTAGAAGTCATTTTATTATAAAGCCAGCCCTTCCCTCATCTTGAATATTAAGCACACCACTGTCCATCCTGGCTGCTTACAGCAATATCTCCCCCCTGAGTCTTTATCTGCAGCAAAGCTCTGTCACTAAATACGGCGGGCATGTCTCCTCACTGGCTTCTGAGATCACAACTGTTCCACCGCTCACCTGGTGCTAAGGGGGAGAACAAGTGCGGATACGGTTGAGCTCAAAGAATCAAAAAATAACAAGTTGTAAATGTGAAGGTTTGCTGACTGATTAGCATATTTCATGATGCTGCGAGCAGCAGAGCCAGAAGACCAATCAGTGGGACACTTTAAGTATGTCCTCGTAACAGAGCCAACCATTGTGGAGGTTGTATACTCGACAGTTCCAAGACTAATTGAAATGTTATGCAGTGGACATGGACAATGTCAGAAACATTGTGCTAAGTTGTCTGTATTGAAGCAACAGTTGAACCCAGCATGTGTCCTTTTCCAAAATGCAATCAAATCGATTAGGATTGCGTATTCTGTTTGACATGACTGACAACGAACTGACCTCCGATTCTGACCATCTTAATTCCTCCTCACTCCGTAATTTTTCCTCTCACTGCCCTCCCAAACGTTCAGGAAGCCTTCCAGATTGGCATCTACTGGGCCCACACCAACACTGTCCACAAGTCCACGGCGCTCAAACTGGGTTCACGACCTTACCTCTCCTCGGTGGAAGGAGTGATCCGGCTCCGAGGTGGTCACTCTGGACGAGGAGGGATACGTAGAACGCGTGACATCACCCTGGGGGCCTTTCCCGGACGGCAGAAGGTAGGGAAAACAAGTGATCTGGCCTCTTCATTAAATTTCTCAAGCCTCTAAAGTTAGATATAGTATTGTTTAGTGAACTTAAGAATTAGTACTATTCAGCTTTTCAACTTTTGCACCGTATGTGAGTACTGTGAGCTCGTTCTCCTTCAATCCTTTAGAGCTGACAAATAGGTGTCCGTTGTTTCCTCTGCAGCTGTGTCAGTTCTGCGTGTCCTCTGTGGTGAGACACGGCATCCAGATCCTCCAGATAGAGGACCGAACCATTCTGGTCAACAACACCCCACACACAATCCATTGCAGGCCTCTGCTGGCCTCCCATCCCCTGGGAACTGACGACCAGGTGACCGCATCCACCCTCTCTCTGTGCACTCACCTGCAGGGTTTCTCTGTTTGTTTTCAAACTCACACAAAGGCAAACGTGCAAATGAGTAAACCCCGGCCATGCACCAAGGTAAAATATGCAATGCACAAACAGGATCTGAATGTGCTGTTCTCCACCTTTATTTGAACAGTTCAAACTGCTTGTGGTTGCAGAGCGCTAGAACTTATGAGGTGTTAGTGTTCGAAACATCACACCTGCCCAGTCTCTACAGTCCACACAAGCGTTACCGCTTGCTTCAGCTCTCCAAAACAAAAGAAATGAGTGTAAATTTAGCTTAATTTCCTCAATGCTACCTGAAACCCTGCGTGCGTGCAGTGCGTGCGTGCAGTGCGTGCGTGCAGTGCGTGCGTGCGTGCGTGTGCGCGTGTGTGTGTGTGTGTGTGCGTGTGCACGCGCTGCTCATTGCCCTGCATGTCTTTCATTCCTGTTCAGCCGATGGTTCTGAAACCTCACACAACACACACACTTTATGTATTCCCTCTGTGCATTACTCACACACATCAAACCCCAGCACACACATGCACACTGCTCAGACGCGGCAAGCCGTTTTCCATCAGATCAAAATACTACACCCAACCCCCCCTCTCCCTCCCTCCACCGTTTTCACCATGTGGCAATGGCGCTTCGTTGGGACATTAGACAAACACCCAGAATTGGATGCAGGTTTTTTCCCCACTCGCTTTCATCTGCTGCTTGTCCCCAAAGAGAGCAACAATGCAGTGATGTCATTTAACGAGCCTTCAGATCCTCTTAAAGGACGATGGCAGATCTTGCCAAAGCTTTGCCAGTAGCCACTAATTGACTTTTTTTTTGTTTTGTTTAAGGGCTTTTAAAAAAGAAATAGCGGGCGATGGGCTTAACAATGACACAGACCACAAACAAGCCGAGGAATGCCTTTCTAGTCGCACTATTCATCATGCTTAGTGCCTAATCCTTGTAGTCTTCAACTACACGCTGCTCACTGGCAGCACAGCAGGGCTCCTCTGCTACCAATTTAGCACAAAGCTCAGTCGAGGAGAGAACAGGGTACAATAACAATGTGGTTTCACTATGTCTTTTGTTGTAGTCACTTGCATCTCTGCCTTTCTTTTCTTCATATCTCATATGCCTTTTGTCCACTTACCCTCCTTTGTTCTCATTTGCTTTTGTCATTTCCTTTCATTTGTTTGTGTCTTCCCCTCGGTCTTTATTTTTGTTTGTCCTTCATCGGTTGCTTGTTTGGCTTTTTTTATCCACTTTATCTTGTCCTTTTGTTTGATTTTTTTCTCCCTCTTCTTCCTTCCCATAATTATTTAATCACGGTTGTATCATGTACTCTCGTCAGGCCTGTGAGATACCAGAGACGTCACTGTTCAGCCTGTTACCCTCTGAGGAATCATCCCAGGCCAAACCCTGCTCCGTCCCATTCTGGGACCTCCTCCAAACCGGCGTTCATGGAACGGTGAAGTTCCCTCTGCCGCTCAAACATATGCTCTTCAGCCTTTTCCCCGGGCACGATGGAGGAGTGGGATCTGGGTCTGCAGCGTGGAGCCTCCCCGCTCCCATCCGCCCCGACTTCCCCAGGCAGAGTTTGTCTGTTCCCAGGGAACCGGACTCCGGGGGTGGCCTGAGCAGCAGGTGGGTGAAGCGGAGCATCTGTGGCGTGCTGGCTGTGACAGTCCATTTAGAACAGGGCACCGAACCCCGACTGGCACATCACACAAAGCCGGCTGCTGGTCACAGCTTGTTAAATTCTGCAGATGAAGCAAAGGAAGGAATACCCTCAGCATTTCCACCGTCAGTCTCTCTGCTCTTCTCAGTCCTTATTTTTCTTACTTTTGATCTTTCTCAGTTTCTTTTCTTGTTTAATTTTTTACTAAACGTCAGCCTAAATAAAAAGCTATTTCACCTTACGAAAGACAGTACAGGCTTACACAGGCCAAATAGCATGTTGTATTTTTCTTAAAACTTGTGTATCTTCATTTGCTGTGTGTAACTGATACGTACATAGATATAAACACACACACACATCTGGCTTGGACCGCTCTCTGCGGACAGTTAATTTATGGCCTACTATGTTTTGTTTTGCAGAGGCATAGTACTGACATATCAGGAGCACCTTGGGGTGACATACATCATCCTGAACGAGGACCCCTGTCCTCGGATGCTGATCCACAACAAATGTCCTATCCCCCTTTTGCTTAAGGAAACTCTCAAAGGTAAGCAAGTAAATAACTGCTGGACTGGTCTCCTCTTATCTACTCCATGCACCCAGGGCGGCTGCGGTGCATGGAGTAGAGAGGGTGCGCCAGAAACCGCAGGGTTGGCAGTTCGAACCCCGGCTGCTCCACGTCCCATGTCAAAGTGTCCCTGAGCAAGACACCCAACCCCTAACTGCTCCCCGGGCGCCTTTACGGCAGCCCACTGCTCCCACTGTGTTGGGTTAAATGCAGAGAACAATTTCCTGAATGTGTAAGATAATACAATAAAAATGTCGTCTTCTTCTATCCTCTCATACTTCTACTACTAGTGCGTTATTTAACGACTATTACTTCTTATCTTCAAATAGAAACTCAGAAGACGGAGGTTCACTGCCGTCCTCTGCCTGCCAATTGCTCCTTGCACCATGAGCTCTACCACCACTTTTCCAGCTTTCCAGAGTGCAGGCAGAAAGAGACGCTGCCCGCTCTCCTGCTGAAGACCACCTTGGACCAGGGCTCCAACACCTGGAGCGACCCCATAGACGTCAACTGCCCCGGCACTCAGGTAACGGCATGCGGCAGGTTGAGGTAGAAAGATGGCAGGATTTCATCTTCAGGATTTCATCTGCACTGAAACATGTTATGCCCAAGTGGTTTGAGGTTTGACTTTCTTCATGTCCATCGAGACATTAAAGACATTTAAAGACATTGAAGAGTTAATGCCTCGTCATCTCAGCTCTCACTGATAGTGCTAATGGCAGTAAGGTGGAGCCAGTGTTTGTCCTGCCAGATTAGCACAACCACAGGATATGGTTGATGCTTTTAATGAACTCACATTACATAACATTAGACATTAGATACACAATGACAGAATGTAATCTACCTCATAAGGCCCGAAGCCAGCTTTATGTCTGCGTGCTTGTGGGATAGTCCTGATGAGCAGGTGGCACTGTGTGCGCTTTCATCAGTGTGTGAATGTGTGATGTAGTCTAAGAGCGCTGTAAGTGTCGGACTATAAAAACTCTATACACTTAGCAGTCCAATTACTGTGTGTGTGTGTGTGTGTGTGTGTGTGTGTGTGTGTGTGTGTGTGTGTGTGTGTGTGTGTGAGAGGGGGGGGCGGCGTGTGTGTTTAATTGTAGTCGGTGTAGCAGTGCGAGGTTAGCGAGATGTTAGGGGGCATCACGTGTAATGTTTGGTGTTTTGTCTAGCCAGCTGCAGGTGAGAGTTGAGGTTTAGGTTGTATCTCTGGTTACCGTGAGGTCTGGGTCTGACCTCCGTAGTAGAGGTTGTCGGGTCAAAGGTCGGACTTGTTATGACTGCTAAACAAAGCAATCAGGCGGCTTTCCTTTCTTCACATGATGTGATTTTCCGCTCTGAGGCTGGAGCGGTGGAGGTTAAAGGTGAGACACATACAGTGTAAAGAGCACTGAGATGTAGAAATAAAGTTTAATCAAGAGGGGGAAATGTCTCATGAAAGATCTGCTGTTTCTCAGGTGGTGTTCCTCCCGGGCTTCGGCTGTCTCTACATCGACGTGGCGTACCAGAGAGGAACCCTGGTTCTGTCTCTGGCACCCGAGGGCAGCGTGGATGCTGTCATCAACCAGCACAGCGGGTACATGTGCACAGCCAGTATTATTCTTCTTGTTTTATCCTTGTTGTTTTAGTCTGCCCGCATATTTGAGCCGTATCAAATCATCTGAGCCTGCTGTTCTTCCTAACCTCAAGGTATCCACCCGAGTGCCTTTTACTGCGCTCACTCCAATTTGCTTCATGATTATCCTTAACAGCAATGTTTTCATGCAGCAGTTGTTACTAGACTCCAAACATACAGAGACAGGCGTCATTTTGAACCACATGAGGGCAATAAAAGCCTCTTTGTTGTCATGAGGGGAATTTGTAAGTAGAACATAACATTACAGCTTTGTTCCATTACATCAACACAAAGCTGCCTTTTCATTTTGATTGAGCGGGATATTAATATAATTACAAGTTGGTAAATGTAAACAATTATCTTTTGTTCTGGTAGTAGATCATTTACAGTACAAAACATTAATACGTTTGGTCCTCCAGCCAATCATTTGAATCCTAACACGCCTCCTTAAGACTCTGAGATGGAGCTGTTTCCTTTCTCATTTCTTTCTTCAAAAGAATACAAGCTGATTGCTAGATATGCATGAATGAAAACTAGTCATATTTATTCCCTTTCACGTGAATCACTTCTGTTTTGTTTCAGGTCTTCTAAGCTGTCGTGCAGAGTCCTCCTTCGTGAAGTCAGTGTGGTGTTGAGCGATGACATCACCAACCCCTCGGGATCTGTGGAGCTGCTCAGACTCACATTGACCAAGCTGCTCCTCAGCCTGGGTCCGGTGCCGACCGCCCCCCCACCCTCGGGGCTGGTGGCCGACACGAACTCGGGCGCTACGCCCGTCTCCGCCCTGATGCCTGACCCCTCTCTGATTGAGGTCCACTGCTCCAGTCTACAGGTAGACAACCAGCTGTACAACCGAGCAAGTTTCCACTTCCCTGTGCTGCTGTGCCAGGACCAGAGGGGGGGGGCTGAGCCGGGCGGTCCGTGGAGCAGCGACGCAAACCCCACGCAATCCCCTGAAGCCCTGGAGGAGTTCAAACGCTCGTGTTTCCTGCAGCTGAGGATGATGCTGGCTGGGGACAGATGCACAGCGGAGGAGGTTGGATTCATTCTTCTGTCTTTGTAATTCAGGTTTTTGTTCTCACCGTATATGTTGCGTGTTAGTATTTTGACCTATATTTGATTATGCACCTTGTATCTCTATTTGCAAGGGAGATGAGTGCTCATGTCAAAAAGGACTTAATCTCTTCAAGATACAGATGTGTCCAAGTCTTTTTTTCATCGCAGCATCATGTGTTTTCTCCTCAGATCACCTTCCAACTCCAACCTGCCAGAGTCTACCTCGAAGACACCTTTGTTTACTACATTAAGACCCTGTTCCACACCTACATCCCTGACAGCGCCATGGCCTCAGCCACAGCGGGGACCCAGAAGAGGAGCAGAGGGTCTGGGTCGGACTCCATCCTCCCTGCACAGGTGTGCTACATTACGTGATGTTTTTATTTATTGCCTAAAGGGAAATAATATGTATATAATAAGGTATCTAATCCAGGAAAGAAACTTTGTGTGTCACAATATGTTTTAATTGTTAGTATCACTTCTCTCTCTTGACAATACTAACATTCAACATTGTTTTCAGCTTTATTTATTTTTGAAAGAGGGAATGTCCTGATCTAATTTTAAATTGTTGAGTTGTAAAACTAGTTCATTTCTCCCAGGTGCTTGAGTCGGTGCAGGCTTTGGTCCACCCTGTGCGGCTGCAGAAACTGACCATCCAGCCGGTCAACTTGTTGGTCAGCATCCACGCCTCCCTGAAGCTGTACATCGCATCGGACCACACCCCTCTCTCTTTCTCCCTGTTTGAGAGAGGGCCGCTGTGCACCACGGCCAGACAGCTGGTCCACTCTCTGGCCATGCACTACGCTGCCGGGGCCCTCTTCAGAGCCGGTGGGTAGTGGTGAACGGAGAGGCTCGCACCACTTCCCTCCCGCCACATCCATCACACGTACAGCCAGCTTGTGGACGCTGGACTGATTTGTATTCACATTGCAGGGACACTCAAGGCCTCACACTCCATGCATCAGTAGAGGCAAAACACGGACCGAAGAATAAGTGACCAATTCCACGTTCTCATAACTCTACTATTCTCACAAAGTCTGGAGTTGAGCTTTAAAATGATTGCACCCGAAGGCTTCAATTGCTTTGAGACAAAAAGTGATGAAGAGCTCCAGGGAGTAAAATTTGAATCACTGGAGGCTCAAAAAAGATTTAGATTGTATCCTTTAGATTTACTGTTTCCTCAGCTTTGACTGATGACTCACGGTTACATAGGCTGCACACGTCCGACTTTTCTGGCCCTTAAAAGCGGGCTCCGTACCTCTCTGCTGCGTGGTCCTCATGTCGAGTCAAAGCCTCCACACATGTTCTGATTTAAGCTCGTCATTTCCACATCAGAAATCACTGTTCTGGACCAACACTTCCTCCCTGCTGTCTCTCGTTAGAGCCCTCATTTATGCTCGTATTTCAGCACGTCACATCACCACTTCCTGAGTCATCATACAGAATGAAGAGGGCGTGGGAGGGGGTACAGCGACGGGAAGCCTGGCATTCTGGGACTGATTAGTATTAGGATGTACGGCATGGTCATCGCACAGACTTCTAGAATACTGAATGGCGTGCACTACCTACTCGCTCACCCCGGCAGAGTGCATCCATGTGCGCCCATTGAACATCAGCTCCTGTCAGGAATTTATGCTTTACCAAAACCACAACAAGGAGTCTGTGAGAGGCAGAAAGGACAAGCAGGCCTCGCCTGAGTCGGTTTCCTGCCATTATGGCCCATCGCTCATGCGCAAATTGACAGAGAATAAGAGCAGAGCGAGATGGCGTCTCCAGAAACGCCTTTTTGATTTTTGTGACGCAATTGTCAGAGCATAAATATCAGCGAGCCGTGCCATCTTAAGGGTAGAAGTCAGGTGAGATAGTAGGAGGCTGTAAATCTTACTGTGGCACATGTATGATTTCATGCAGAGTATATGAGTCTGTGTGCCTAAGTGGATGTATCTGAGCCTTTGTGTTGCTGAGAAAAAAATTCTGACACAATGAGGGACACACCGTACAATCAACATGTAAAAACATTGCGTGAATATTTCTGTGAAGTTTTTGAATTGGGATCAATCCAAACAAATAGAGGATAGTGGAAGTTTACTCAAGGGGCTTGTCTTCATGAGAGCAGGTGTTTCAGATGTGTTTCTGTAAATACAAAACCCATTTGGACAGTAGAAAGAATTGTGTGGTATAACACCATTGAGACAACATTCCAATAATAATAATGTAAAGTTTATTTCTTGAAATATTTGCTTCCAGTCCAAGTTTTTCTTGAACAACTAAATGGAAAGAGAAGAGGAAGAAGGCTGGATAGGAATGTAATCGTTGATGTGACAAGGACATGATTAATTCAAGGATTCATGGATAATTTATTGTCATTGTGCAACAAGGGGTTGTGCAGTTGTAGCCCATTTGTTACACAAGAAACATTTTTGGAACTTGCATCAGAAATAACAGTTCTCTGGACACCATATTACAAAAAAAATTAGTTTGAATTACATTTTTACACCAAGCATCATTGATGTAAACCCCTGATTTAAACCATCGTCGATAGTATAACAAGTGTTCCTGTCCTCAGGTTGGGTGGTGGGATCTCTGGAGATCCTGGGCAGTCCTGCCAGCCTGGTGCGGAGTATCGGCAACGGCGTGTCCGACTTCTTCCGGCTGCCCTACGAAGGCCTGACGCGCGGGCCTGGAGCCTTCGTCAGCGGGGTTTCCAGAGGGACCTCCTCCTTCGTCAAGCATATCTCCAAAGGTAACAGATGCTCCTAACATTTGAGTCGGTTCAACAGCAGTAAGTCTCTGTGCACCGGACATATTGTGGTAAATGTATGTTACCTGATGACCACGGATGCCGGGTGTCATTATGCAGTGATGACTCATTCAACATTTTTGGTTGAGCTCGAACATCATGTTTTGCATTCAGGCACGCTGACCTCCATCACCAATTTAGCAACGAGCCTGGCCAGGAACATGGACCGGCTGTCCCTGGATGAAGAGCACTACACCAGGCAGGAGGAGTGGAGACGGCAACTTCCAGAGAGCCTTGGAGACGGACTGAGACAGGGGCTGTCACGACTTGGCATCAGCTTGTTAGGTACGCGGAAGTGCACACATTAGTGCACACATTAGAATGCATCTCATGGAATCATTCATTTTTACAGAGGGTTTTGCAACATGTCGTATCAGGAATTCAGCAGCACAGTAATCATCGTTTCACTCCTGCAGTCATCCTCGCTTAATCCAAGAATTTAATTGAGTGGCTCACTTTTTAAATATTATTCCCCTTCACAATATGTCAAAATGTTTGCTTTAGATGACAACAGATGAGAAAAGTTATTATTAATTCGTCACCTAGCTCAATATAGAATCCCATGACACTAGATAGTTTCTTCCCACACACATTTAACCTGCTGTCCATTGGCATTAGGGCAATGCGCACACACAAACACACACACACACTGGCGGGCACAATGACAAAGAGCTATGAGACGAAGCCGAGGAGACAGCACAGCAGGGACTCAGTAGCCACCAAGAGGGCAGTTAAACCATATACAGCATGGTAGACGCGTAAAACTTGAGTATTGAAAGAGAGCATGTGGTCACTGAAACCAAACAGCTGCCCACGTTTCTCTGGGTGGATTATAATTCTTAGTATGCCCCGTCGAAGGGCCAGATATTTTCTGTAGGCCAAAAGCGTGTGTCGGAGTTCCTGTGCGAGTCCCATGTATGACACTTTTTATTTTCCATGTCTTGTCAAAAGGAAATGTTGTGTGTCTTTTGCGTCATTTTTGTAACTGTTCGTCTTTGAATAAAGCACATTAATAAGGAACAAATGCTTTTCTTCTGTTCTTCCAGGCGCCATAGCGGGCATCGTGGACCAGCCAATGCAGAACTTCCAGAGGAACTGGGAGCTGCAGAGCTCCGCTGGGAGCAAGGCCAAAGGGGTCATCTCTGGAGTGGGGAAAGGCATTGTGGGCGTTTTCACCAAGCCCATCGGAGGAGCAGCTGAACTGGTGTCCCAGACTGGATATGGTGAGTTCAGGATGGTCAAAGATAACACACTGTCGTTGTGCTATTTCAGCGGTTCACATCATTAGTTGTATCTGTTATAGTGATATCATCTGACACGGCGTCTAGGGCCTCACTTGTTTTGGCCGTCTATATCTGTCCTCAGCACTACATTTCATATCAAAGACCGAAAAGCCCATTTAGGAGCAGATTGACTTATTGAAGGTTCCTCGTGACTCAAGCTTCCATACTATACGCCTTGTGTCGCCTCGCTCTCAGATTGAGTGGGCATTGAGTGGATTGTTTGGACAGTTTCTCCCAACCGTGTCCTCTTGGCTCCAGTCAGAGGTGTTTATTAGGTCATGACTGCGGACTTCATGACTTCTTACTAGTACTACTGAAGGACACACACAAATAAACACCATCACACATGCACACAACACTTGTACAGTGGGGAGAACAAGGATTTGATACACTGCCAATTTTGCAGGTTTTCCCACTTACAAAGCATGTAGGAGTCTGTCATTTTTATCATAGGTACTCTTCAACTGTGAGTGAATATGAATGAATTGCAGTTAATTGCATGACATAAGTATTTAGTATTTTGATTATACATCAGAAAAGCCAAATTTAATATTTGGTACAGAAACCTCTGTTTGCAATTACAGACATCATACGTTCCCTGTGGTTCTTGACCAGGTTTAAACACTCTGCGGCAGGGATTTTGGCCCACTCCTCCACACAGACCTTCTCTAGATCCTTCAGGTTTCGGGGCTGTCTCTTGGCACTAGGCCACTCCAGGACCTTGAGATGCTTCTTACGGAGCCACTCCTTCGTTGCCCTGGCTGTGTGTTTCGGGTCGTTGTCCTGCTGGAAGACCCAGCCATGACCCATCTTCAATGCTCTTACTGAGGGAAGGAGGTTGTTGGCCAAGATCTCGCGATACACAGCACCATCCATCCTCCCCTCAATACGGTGCAGTCAACCTGTCCCCTTTGCAGAAAAGCATCTCCAAAGAATGATGTTTCCACCTCCATGCTTCACGGTGTTCTTGGGATTCTACTCATCCTTCTTCTTCCTCCTCAAAACACAGCAAGTGGAGTTTAGACCAAAAAGCTATATTTTCGTCTCATCAGACCACATGACATTCTCCCATACCTCCTCTAGATCATCCAGATGGTCATTGGCAAACTTCAGACGGGCCTGGACATGCGCTGGCTTGAGGGGACCTTGCGAGCGCTGCAGGATTTTAATCCATGACGGCGTAGGCGGTTACTCAGGGTTTTCTTTGAGACTGTGGTCCCAGCTTTTCTTGGTCCTGCCGTGTAGTTCTGGGCTGATACCTCACCTTCCTCATGATCATTGATGCTTCACGAGGTGAGATCTTGCCTGGAGCCCCAGACCGAGGCAGATTGACCGTCATCTTGAATTTGCTCCATTTTCTAATAATTGCACCAACAGTTGTTGCCTTCTCACCAAGCTGCTTGCCTGTTGTCCTGTAGCCCATCCCAGACTTGTGCAGGTCTACAATTTTATCCCTGATGTCCTTACACCACTCTCTGGTCTTGGCCATTGTGGAGAGGTTGGAGTCTGTTTGATTGAGTGTGTGGACAGGTGTCTTTTATATAGGTATCTAGTTCAAACAGGTGTCGTTAATACAGGTAATAAGTGGAGAACAGGATGGCTTCCTAAAAACAGACTAACAGGTCTGTGAGAGCCGGAATTCTTACTGGTTTGTAGTAAGAATGAAATACTTATGTCATGCAATAAACTGCAACTTTTTAAATCATACAATGTGATTTTCTTGATTTTTGTTTTAGATTCCGTCACTCACAGTTGAAGAGTACCTATGATAAAAATTGCACTCCTACATGCTTTGTAAGTGGGAAAACGTGCAAAATTGGCAGTGTATCTGCCATCAGTGGACCTGTTCTCCCCACGTTAGCACGTGTTTTCTTGGTGGCAGAAGATGGTGTGGAGTGTGTTGGCGCAGGTCTAGCAGCGAGGGTACAAGCTGTGTATACGACTAACGTCCCCACAGGAGTCTTCCTCTGATCCACCTGAAACACATCGGCTGGAAGTACTCATCCTGTCCAATCAAACACAGGGATGAACCTACACACACTCACACTCGGAGCAGCATTGCTGTCACTAATGACTCAGACTGAAGACTCAGTTTTAAGTAGGCAATTAAGGGACATTGTGGCGCTAAGGGTCGTCATGGCGCTGGGGTAGAGCGGGTGCGCTGGGAACCACAAGGTTGGTGGTTGGAGCCCCGGCCGCCCCATGTCCCATGTCGAAGTGTCCCTGAGCAAGACACCTAACCCCTTATTGCTCCTCGGGAAAAAAAAGGAAAAAGCCATGGGTTAGAAATGTAATGTAATGTAAGTCACTTTGGATAAAAAGCGTCAGGTAAATGACCTGTAATGTAATGTAATTGCTTCACTGGCCCCCGCTGCTGACAGCCAGAGCTGTCCGCATCATGTGTGCAGTTTATCAGCTCCAGTCTGTCTGACCCTCAACACGGTACAACGCAGGAGACTAAACCTCCCTGGTAGTTAAGCTTAGTTTAAGCCGTTCAATTTGTTTTGACAAATCTGTATTTCAGTAAATATTTTGCAGCCAAATGAAATGTTCACAGGTTCCAACTTTTGATTCTTTTGATGCATGTAATATTTCTTTACAGCCCTTGTACAAAGGAAATCAAGTATTCCATGAATATGAGATCTGAGTTTCCAGCAGTGTGTGTTTTTCAGGTTACACTTGTCAGTTTCTTGCGTCTTCTCAGCAAATTATGTTTGTACACGAGAAAAAACGCAGTGAACGGCATGTTGAGGTCAAACGACCTTGTGCGTGCTCAAACTAAAGCCTCGCACTGATGCTGACCCTCTCTGTTTGTCTTTCTCTCCTCTGGCAGGGATCCTTCACGGAGCCGGCCTGTGGCAGCTCCCTAAACAACTGTACCTGCCTACTGAAGAGAAGGCCGCTCAGGCCGCAAACAGCCACCTTAAATATGTCTGGTATGAAACCCTTCAGAGCCATTTGTCCCCTCCCGAGGCTTAGCCTCTACTTTTGTCCATCTATTTGTTAGAAGTGGGACATGTGTTCTCGCCTTTGCTTTTTATTGGAGGTTCTCCAGGATCGCCTGTTCAGTTTCTCCCTCTTACCTCTCATCATTTTTGCCTGTCTTGTTTAAAAAAAGAAAAAAAAAAGAACTTCATTACGGTTCATTACCTACTTTCCCCCCCAAAAAAAGACTCTGGAGAAATGTTTGACCTTGATCCCACACATGGTAGCCAGCCTGCCCTCCCTTGTTCTCATCGAGCCATGTTAAAAGGTTTTTATAAGCACTCTGCCAAAGCCGCCAGCTAGAACAGATTCTTGTTGTTTAACGTTGAGTCTATCCAGAGATGTCTCTCGGTACCATCAGATGGAGGAACACCTTCCCTTGTGAGCAGGAGTTTGGGAACCTTCTGCTTGGCACAACCTGCCAAGCAGGTGTTATTGTTGGGTCATGAGTTGTAAAAAATAATATATGACCGCTCTACATCAGAACTGAATGTTTCAACTCAACAGCACTTGATATAATCATCAAAAATTTGCCAGAGGCCTGTCTCTCCAGAATATTATCAGCAGCTGATGCATTTATGGCTTTTTATAATCATTTTTGTAGTTTGGTTTCCATAGCTGTCTATCTACATTTTAGATAGGTATGTTATTGTCATCACCCAAAGGGCATGTCGTGCTAATGTTAGAGGGGAAAAAACCTGATGAGTGGTGAGATAATGCTCCCCTGTGTTTTTTATTCATGCTGCATTGCAGTCAAAGTGGTTTCCATCAGTGCTACAGGTAGCCCAGATGAGCTGAATAACACTGAACAGAAACAGTCCCAAATTGTGGCTTTTTTTACATCTGTAGAGCAATTCGAGTACCTGCCTTTCAAAGTAAACACACTGTCAGAGAAACATGACTGAAGACTGCAGGTCCCACCGTGCACATATTTCCCCATCGAACATGTGTGTGTGGCAATGTAAATTACAGGATGTATAGAGACGCGTGTTTGTGTGAATTGAGGTGAGTCGGCACACCTTGTGTGGTCTTGTTGATTTGGGAAAGTGATTTGCCCATTTTCGAAGCCGTGTGTACATGATCAGTGCATGCAGCAGAAGTCAGTGGGATTGCTGTTCGTAGTGCATGAAACTATAAAGCATTAGAATTTCAGCGTCATAACTTGTCTTCGCGGGCCCTCCACAGGAAGATGCTCCAGTCTCTGGGCCGACCGGAGCTCCACATGGCCCTGGAGGTGACCATCGTGAGTGGGTCGGGTCAGGAGCATGCCGGCTGTTTGCTCCTCACCTCCGAGGTGCTGTTTGTAGTCAGCCTCAGCGAGGACACCCAGCAGCAGGCCTTCCCCATCACAGAGGTAAGTGACAGCAGTTGGGAAGAAAGACTTCTTTCAGCTGTGAAGTAAGAGCTCCGAACCTCCTCCCTCTGCAGGTGGAGTGTCAGCAGGAGCCGGGGCATCAGGGCCAGCTCACCCTCACCTTGCAGCAGCAGACAGTAGTCAGCGACACAGAGGTGAGACTTTACTAATAATAGAGCCACACATGATGGAAAACAAAGTCTCATAAACATAATGTAGCACATATACAGTTAAATAGGGAGGAATGCAAAGTAGTTAGTAGTGTTTTTTTCCTGATACGACTAATGACATTTAAATACACTTTTAGAATCTTGAGTAATCAAGCCTTAGTTACTTATTTTACTTTGTTTATTTGTGGGCCAAAATGACTGCACACGCCTACATTGATTTTGAGCAGTTTGTATTACGCCTCATCCAAGAACCGATGAGATCGTTAAAGGGCCACGACCTCTGACCTCAATGGTTCCTTTGCTGACCAGAGACATTGTTTGTTTGGCATGAGAAAAAAAAAAACTCCTTGGTTACCATGAAGGCACATGGTCAGCCACTGGCTGCATCAGACTGTATTGGTAGTCATCTGATCAGTCCCCCCTCCTCCCCCCCAACCCAGGGTGATGGCATTCGGGAGCGTCTGTCAGAGCAGCAGTACCGGCGGTTGGTGGACTACGTGACGTGGGCCTCCCAGTTCCTCTCCCCCTCCCCCTCCTCTCTCCAGATGGCGGTGACACTCGCCGAGCCACCACCCTCCGTCACCAAGTGTTACCGCTACCTGGTGGAGCCCGCCTTCGCCGCGGTGTTTGTCAGCAGGTTCACCATGGTAAAGAATAAAGCCTTACGCATCGGATTCCACTAACACACACCTGTGCACTATTGCTCCAAGGAAAAAGGGAACGGATCATTCGTTCCAATTAAGCCTTTAATCAAAAACATAACACATTTATGCAAAAGATATTTGTTGCATTTGAAATATATATTATAGAAGAGCTCATCACATCTAATTGATGTTTGAACAATAAACACTAAAACAGCTGTCAACTTAAACCTTTTTGGATCAACGCTGTCTTCTCTTCCAACATTAAATGGGCGCTCTCAGTCAGTGTGAAACCTCCTCGGTGTTGCAGATAGAAATGTGCAGTACACAACTAATCTGTTACATTGACATCAAAACGGCCCCATGGTTCATTCTGCAGAAAAAGCTCTATGTTTACATTCTTCATATGTCTCATGCCAACGTTAAGTGCAATATTATATAATGTTGCTGGACGCTAGAGAAACCAGCTGTCAACCAAAATGTTTGTTTGTTTTTATAAACGTCACCGTACGTGGATCCCAACATGTTATTGTTGCACCACTGGGTCTTATGCCTTTAATGTATGTACATGGATAATATATTGATACAAAATAAAGTGTTTTGCTATTATTGGAAGTGTGAATCTGCTTGTTGTGAATGAAACAAGTAACCCACTGAACTTACAGCCAGGAGAGATTTACACTTTTCTTTTGTACGCAAGCCCTGAGACGTGGCTGGTCCCATTTTGTTGATGAAACACATTTGTTCACACACTCAACTGGGAGAAATTGATCCACAACACTCAAGCAACTGTTCTTACATTGTGTGTAAATCAAGTCTCAAACTTCTACCTCATCGTGCACTTCGTTTTCACAATCACAATGACAGGCTGCAGTAAGACATAAGTAACTGTGTCATAGTACAGCAATGACAAAACTTCATATTACACTAACAAATGTGATAGTATATATAAATATAAACCTCGTGCTACAACGTGTCAAAATATCAATTTGGATCAGTCATCCAAATTATGAAAAAACACAATGTTTTTTGTTTTACCTTTGGCGGGTTGTATTTGAAAAACTAAGGAAAAGGTTGCTCCACTTGCACAGTGCTGCTCAGCTCTTGGAACTGGGGCCAAAACTTCAGCAATGCACTGAACACTGATGTCTACATGGACAGAGAAAAGGCAAACACACTCACTACATACTGGAAGGAAATACGATGAAAGCCAAACTCAGAAACACAAACACTACCTGAGCTTCTCTGAAGAGGCAAGGACCCAGTCTGTTGCGATTCTCCAGAACACGCTGGGCCTGTTGAGGAGGGATGTCTATCTGCAGAGCCGGGGGGGTGGAGGCGTCGATGAAACCATTAATGATGGTGGAACTCTTCTGCTGGATCGTGGCCTCATCGCTGTGGGAGTGACAGAGGTCCTGGAAGAGAGGGCACTATTTCAATATCCCAAATTCTGCTGCATTTTGAATCCTACTGTGGTCAGATCAATGTTTTCCAATTTGGAGCCTTTTGCATTTGTGTACCTGTATAACAATCGCGATTAAGCTGCATTTTAAATAAACTCCAAATCCAAGGACAGTTTAGGCTTCTTTGCCTTTGTTTCTGGGAAACTAGCGTCAATGTCATTTTTATTTTCAAAAGTTTGAGAACGTATTGAGTTGCTACATTACCTTTTTACCTAAGACAAGGTGAGCACAGAGAAATTTTGAATTTCAGAACAAATATATATACATCTATAGAAGCATTATTCTACCCACTGAAGCTCAGCCATGCAAGTACAGAAACAAACACCTTTTTTATTGAGGGGGACTTGATAATCCCGTGTATTAGTTATTTGATTATCCAAACTTAATATGGAATGGCATACACCAATGAGCTCAGCCCAGATGGCGTCGCAGTCTTACAATAAAAACCAGCAGCGCATCGTTGTCTACTTATTTCTGCTTCTTTTACCTTGTATCTCTGCGCTTCCAGCCAGAAGCGGACATTGTTTTCTGGGAAGTCTCCTTTCAGGGAGACGAAGTGCTGGAACCGTGTGCAGGTGACGGGGTCAAGTAGAGTCCGTCGAAAAAGCAGGATCTCTTTGGCGGCCGTCATCCACAAGCTGTCGGCCTGCAGGGACACACGGCAGAGGAGTGTTAGGTTGCACACTGTAAGAAGAGGAAAAATCCCTCAGGGTTAGATTCAATGCATATAATGACCTACTCTTTTGTTAACAATAGAGCAAAACCTTGTGTGCACAATGGATATACAAGTGTGCTCCTGAACAACAGCCGTAAAGATAGTTTGGGACCTGTGGCCTATATTCTTAGCGCACATAAAACTGAGATAATGAGGCTCTTTGCCAGTGATGATGAGATAATGATCATACAGACAACAATCATCTATGGAAAAGTCCTTCCTGTAATCATCCTGTTTGAAATGTACATGTTTTGTATCCGTGTTCTGCTGTGCAGAATGAAATGAGAGGAAGGGCCGGAGCTTCATGGAAAACACTCCAAACACTATTAAAGGAAGGTTAGTAGTGCTGATGCTTTAATCTCATTTATCCTGGATCCAATTTGGGGGAAACTAACCACAAGGCAAAAATGGTGTTTGACAAAGCCAGAGCTCGAAGCCAAGCCAACTAAATCACACATGCGTTCCGGCCAGGCAACGCCTTTTTTCTCTAAAGAATATGCAAGTTTCCCAGAAAGCTGCTGTCTGCAGCGTGGGGCTGCCACACAAACACCAGTCAGAAGACAGAAGCGGAGTAACGTGACACAGAACACTTTTACCCTTGACCCCATCTTTATTTCCTCTGACCTTATTCATCCAATCTGTGCCAACCGTCTCCCACCCTTCCATATAGAGGCCAAACTATGTCCACAACCGATTACTTAATGAGAGGATCTGTGTTACAAAACAACTCCATAGCATAATGTCGTTCTTGTGTTACAACGTGATGAGGCGGCCTGAGAGCGACTGGACAGCTGCGTGGGTTCCCACCTAACAGAGTCACTCTTAAGCTCTATTTTATTAGGAACAGAGAGATGTTTAAAGCAACCTGGGACAAAGCTTTACCCATGAGCTACTCATTGTTGATACAACACAAAGCCAAAACGTAATATCTTGTTTGTGCAATCAATAATGAAACTGAAGTATAAGTAATGGGACTATCCTTTGGATGAACTAGTAACTTTGTAAAGTCTTTGCTGGCTGCCTGATAACTGTACAGAGCCAAGATACAGACTAGCATATAAAAAGCACTGTAAAGCCGCAAGCTTGTTATTTTTAAAGTCTGTTTCTTATGGCACAATTTATAGTGTTAATTTTAATATTTATGTTAATTGGTTAGGTTTTGGAGCTGCTTATAGATCGACTTTGTTATTAGCCATTTCAGTCATGCTAAGCTAAGCTACTGGGACCATACGTTAAATAGACAAACATTGGAGTGCTAACAATATTGCCACTTGTATTTGCGGGGAAAAAACGAAATCCCTTAATTTGCTAGTTTTTACCTTTGGTTTGTGTTCCTGTTGTTGTGTGAACTCAGCTGAGGACATGTAGAGCGGAAGCCATTTTTTCTCAATGTAACTACTGACGATGTCCTGGATCTCCCGAACAACTGAGTTGAAGAGATACCCAGTACCCAGACGCTCCAGTCCACCTGCGAGACGCAATATCTACACACACACACAGTGGAAGCCAAGTCAAAGATACAGCCCAGACAGATGGTTGTGTGTGTGTGTGTGTGTGTGCACATTTTAAATGCTACGGATGTTTCACAACATGAAAAACAAAGTATTCACCCCCCTCTTGGACTCATTTTGTCGTGGTATAACTACAGATTAAGATTAATTTCATTGGGATTTTATGTAATGGACCAACACAAAATAGTTCATCATCAGGATGTCGGGATTTGAAAATTGCTGTTCACAGACGGCTCCATCTAATCTGACTGAGCTTCAGTTTTTTGAGTGGACGAACATCGTTTCCATCTCTCGATGTGCAAAGCTGGTGGAGACATTCACCAAAAGAAAAGAAAAGAAACTATTACATCTGGGGTGGAGGGGGGGTGAATACTTATGCATCCAACAGATGTCAACTTTTTAGTTCTAATTATTGTTTGTGTCACAATTTTGCATCTACAAAGTACAATACATGTGTTGGTCAAATGCAAAGAAAGTCTATTTGAATTCCAGTTTTCAACAGTATAAAATGGGAAAAGGTCCAAAGTGTGTGTGTGGGGGGGGGGGTTTGAGGGCTGATTCAGGATAAAGAACGATACACAGTTGGAAACCCAACTGAAAACTCCCCTCCTGCTGCGCTCTTCATCATTCCCACAATCCCTCTGTTCCCTTCATCTCCCCGTCTGCTTTCTGTCCTCATACTTTGAAATGGCCAAGTCTCCCTATTTATATCTCTTTTAGATTTTCTCTCATTTCATTGTGCACGCACAAAGCCGAGCTATTCCCACGCACGCACGCACGCACGCACACACACACGCACGCACACGCACACACTCCGCCAACACACATGCACACACACGCTTCAGAAATTAGAAACAGTCGTTCCATTGGAGTGGGAGTCAGCAGATGAAAGGAGTCCAATCTGCGACTGGATGACTGAGTGATTGAAAGAGTGAAGGGCCAAAGCAGTAAAGCTGTCAGTCTCTCTACATCGCTCACGCAGACCAGAACCAACGCTGAGATGTGAGAGCGGCGGCCGGGCCCAATCCTGCACAGTTGGAAGCACTAGAATTGGCAACTTCCCTCGAATACAATCATCCTTTTGATGGCATTCATGAGATGAGGGTGAAAAATGACAAAGGTCATGCACCAGGGTTGAAGTCATGTCAACGAGAAGGCTTCACTGAATGTCTCTCTCCTAACTCATTGTGCTTCACAATCAGGTAGCTCACCTCATTTAAAAAGAAATGAAAACGAATGAATAGCTCAGCGTAATAGTTGACTGTATCGGTTAAATGGTTAAAGTAGTTAAGGATTTGACATTTGAAATAATGTAAAGGATAAATGGTGGTGGTAAAAATGCAATTGACCAAGCCGGCCTCATAGTTTCATATGTCATACATGTCGGTGAGGTCTTTGGGGTTACATCATACAGAAAACATGTTGGGAAGGATTCTGCCATTATTAACACACCTGAAATATTAGGGCTGTCAAAATTAACGTGTTAATCTATGCGATTAATGTGGCCGAAATTAACGCTATTTTTAACACAAATTTGACTGGAAACAAAACCGCCGCTAGCTGCAGTCAATTAGATCGGAAAGACAGAGACACTTATAAGTAAAACAAACAGAGGCAGAGGAATTCCTCCATGTGTCAAACAGGGATGAGTGGCAAACGGACCACTTTAGGACCGCTAGGCCAAGATAGCTGCTAGGCTACTTCCATCTCAACATCGAGGACAGCAGGAAGAATCGATAGTTCAATCCACCTGGTTGAATTCTGCCTTGGAGGTGATCAAATGTGTGTAGTTTTGTGTTTAAAATACAATTAAACAGTGTCTAAAATACACACTTTCTAAGGGGATTACTTATTACTTGTACTATTCTTTAAAACAACAAAAAACAAACTTTAATTAGTTATTATCTATTGACAGCCCTATAAAACTCTTTTCTGTCTAGCTTCCAAAAATAGAAAGAATCCCACCTACTCATCCTACTTCTACACAGCATGCCCTTCTGCACTAATCCTAGAATCCAGAAACCTAATCTCAGACTACAAACGTCAGGAGAGAGAACATCATTGTCACTAGCCTTCTTTCTTCCTTCTCCTTCTCACCCTCACCACGTCCTCTCATGGCCCGTTTTCCTAGCGACACCCTGCTGTCAGAGCTGGGCGATCTGATCTGCAAGATGCCCGAGAAGGGAGACGGGGAACTGTGTGAGTGCCGTTTATCAAATGTTGAGCCCCAGCCAGAGCTCACATTGTCATGTCATGAGCACCACGCTTCTGCCACCACCTCTGATCCTTTCCCAGGAAGTTGATAATAATTCAATATCAATCTAGATGCGACTCCATCAAAAAGGGTTTCCTAGTAAAATTGAACTCATTCACTCCATAAACCATGTGGCTGACGTACAGCATTCTGTTGCTCTGTGGTGGCGGGGCTGGCTGAGCCAAAGAAGTACTTCCTGTTGAGATATTTGGTGGCAATATTCGTGGCTCTCCGCTGTCTGACAGCCTTGTCTTTTTGAGGAGTCCTCATGTACTGCTCCAGATCCAGCCAGCATGTCAGATGGATACTGACCGGAAACACACATGTTCAGATTCACCATTATGATAAAATCTCCAGTGCATCGTATATACATCCTCTAGACAACACCCATTTCCATACTGATTTAATTTCATTTTAATGCAAAGTTGTAAATATGTATGTGTGTATATATGTATGTATATTTTAGAGAGTGAAGTAATTTCCTCTGAACAGAGCACAACTATCTCATACACAAACTATGTGGTTATTACTACTCACCTGGCATCCTGATTCTGTAGGAAGGACATTAAGTGCCCGATCTTGCGCGGGTGGCAAAGTAAGGAGCCTAGACGGTAGCCTTTGTAATTTGGAGACACTCTGGACCGAGAGTCAGGCGCCCGGGGGCCCTTTGAGAAGGGAGACGAGGGTGTAACCGGAGAAGGAAATAACTCTGACCTGAACTGCTCCACCTTTGGAGGAGACAACAGCAGAAGGTGGAGTAAGTGACTGGGTGGGTGTGAGAAGGAGGAAGAATAAGCTGCTATATTTGCACATAACCTGAGGTAGATAGCACGTTCAGGCCAAGTAATACACGCTTGGAACATTGGATAACTTACACTGTTACTGAGCAAAGCATAAAAGGTGGATCGAGGCCATTTTCAAATTGGTCAAATTAGCACCTTTGAGCTCACAGGTGAACCGACATTGTGGAGGCTGGCTGACCTGTTTCAGTTGGCCCACTGATTCCTTGTACAGATGTTCCCCGGGCTCCTGGCTGTCAATGCAACGCACCTCCTCTTGCACACACACCTTGACACATAAAGCCAATTAGTGCTGAAATTAGTAGTAATCAATAAGTTAATTAGAACTAATTGTTTTTATTCTTTGTGGAAATGAAAACACTTTATAATCTGATTCTCCTTCATTTGGTTTCTTGCACTGTAATACATGTTTTGAAAGGCCAAATATTAACTCAAGGCTGAAAATGATCGGTTGTCACAGCCCTGAATCCAATCATGCACAGAAACAGACAAGAAACCTTAGACTCAAAGTAGGAACTCTAATCCGTATTATTTTATACATCATTTAACATAGAACAGATTCTACAATATTCATAGATGCAACGATCAAATTGTGACATTTTGCCGCTTCTTTCCTCAGTGCTGTCAGTAGCGTGTTGCTTCCCTCGAGCTGAACAAGAGAATGAAACGGTGCTTACTGTCTGGAAGGACTGTTCGTCCCTGCTGACCAGCAGGGTCCAAGGCTCCAGAAGGATGTGCAGTGCGTGCTCCTCAACCTTGTCAAACAGCTCCTTAAAAGCGGGCACGAGTTGGTCGTACACCTCCCTTCTGATCTCCTCGCCGACACCAATGCTCCTCCTGGCAAAGCTGAGGAGGTAGCTGGAGTGAAGTAGCTGAGGAAAAGAGAAGAGATCGTAAAAGTGTCGTCACTTTGGAAACATTTCTGCTCACAGCCGCCATCAGTTCCATCGCCATCTATCATTTAGCACTCTCAACTTCAATATTCAATGACTCTCATCATCACTGCTGCCATCACACCACATAAACGTCAGTTAACTCTCTTGGCTATGGCACTATGGAAAGACCATTGAAATGTCGTTCCTCCGGTTAGCTAAAGGTTCACTGAGGTACTCTGGACCGGAACAACGGCGTGTTGTAGCCAGACAGGGTGGTTCTGGGAGACCGGACTGGCGTGGAGCTGAGCTGAGGGGGGTCACTTTTTTTTATCGCTGGTTAAATGAGAGGCCCGAACAGGAGCGCATGCAAACAAGAGCAGGTGTGTGTGTGTGTGTGTGTGTGCGTTCCAGGGAAGGTGGAGGATATAAACTCAATCTCTGTTTCATGTCTTTTGAGGTCTTTGTTCATCATTTGTTCCTCCAAATTCCAGACTTGCTGATTAATGGCTGACATGAGCTAATAACCACGTAGTCTTTTATCCCCCTTCTTTCACATATGGAGCGACTGTGGAGAGCAGAGGTCGTCCTTCGATCACTGGCTCCGCTGGTGTCCATGGCGATGTGTACTTGGGACAAACACTAAACCATTGTTTGTTATTTTTCCACGCACGGCAGCTCGCAGCAGCGGGACAGAGAGCATCAGAGTGAGTACAACCCCCCCGGTCGGCTGATCCGGTTGCCTGATTATTACCCCATTTGGCCGGCTATTACCCCCCTGTTGTAGTTGTAAACCATGGGGAAACACTGTTTGACTATGGTGTGTGTGTGCTAGTTAGTTAGAGTCCCAATGGGCAGGTGGCATCATGTTCGGTGTCCTGTCATCACATGTAGTGTTAAAACACTTTGGATGGTTGGAAGACTAGAAAACCGCAATACAAGTTCCGCCCATTTACAGTGTGTTCTAAGCAGCAGTAAACAGCTGGGTGTTTCTTCATAAGTTAGTAGTTGGTGAGAGATGAACACACTATGAGGTTGCTAGTGACCTGTGCCTCTCTCTGGACCCGGTAGGTGTCCAGTCCGTCCTGATGGAACAGCTCATGGTAGTGCTGCAGGTCAGTCCAAAAGTAAAGTGCATTCTCCCACAGCTGTTACGGAAAATGAGAACATGGAAACATCATCATGGACTCTGTCTATCACATCAAAGGGCAGACACTGAAGATTTTATTGAGCCGCAATATGATGAGAATTATAATTCAATGTAATGCAACATGCAAACAATGCAGTGGCTGCTATTGTACCTGGTTTCCAGATTGCTCACAGAAGTTTGAAAAGTATAAGCCGGCATAGAATTCAACAGAAAGGGCCTTCTCCATTCTTCTGCTGCCCGGGAACTGACTTCTGCTAGAATATAACTGGTGAAACACATACACAGAAGAGAAATCTGTACACTACCCTTTATTCAAAAATTTGGTTGCAGCAACTTACTGTTTGGACTGCAAGTTAAAACGTGTAATCGCTTGTTTTGTCCAACCAACAGTGCAAATCCTTAAAGAGCTCAATGTATAATGGTATTAAACAGTGGAAAATTGCAAATCTTCATGGAGAATTTGAAAATGAGTGTTTGGCATTTTAGCTTCATAAAAGACAATAATGAACTTGATCGACTAATCATTGTGTCTACACTTAAAAATATAGCCTAAAACATGCTTTTGAGGAAAGGACAACTGCATACGAAGCGGTGATACACTCTGCAGCCACTGGAACATACAAGTTGCAAAAAGTCAGACAGTAAGTGCTACATCTTTGCTGGCTAAAGGTATCATATCTTAATGCCTTTACCTGTGTGTGTACAGCATGGTGGCACAGGGGCAAACGGGTTTCAGAGCAGAGAGTGTTAGATCCACGGTGGGGCTGTGTGTCTGACTCAGGCCTAACACACCACTCTGCCCTCAGCTCGGGATAAGGGGAGTCATCGCGGCCTCCGTGAATCCTCCGGGACGTCCAGAACCGAGGAACCCTGTCGGAAAGAGGAGAGAGTTATTCTGGACATTCATCTGATATGTAGAAGTTTGTGATTTTATTTGTTTAAAATGACAGCCTGTGCTATATTCAGCTTATTGTGGGGACATGACTCCCAGTATATGACAGGCACAAAAATATACATACAAAGTCGTGATCCATGATTAACATGAGGGGACATTATGAGGAATTATAAATCTCACCAGTAGGAGAGTAGAGACTCAATGAGTAAGGGCTGAACTGAGTGAAGTTTCTCCTCTGTCCAGCAGAGGGAGGTAGTCAGCCCCAGCCTGCAGAGCAGCTCCACATTGAGACTGATACGGCTGCAGCTCAGCAGGTACCGGTTCCTCATCACGACCAAATACCTGATTAATACATGCATCGCATTCATTTATTGCTTAATAGTTCACCAGCTCACCAGAATGACATTGTTCATGCTGTGATGTTTACCTGCTCTTACGCTCTTGGGTCCGTGTAGCTTTTAGCCGTGTTATATCCATCCAGAGATTGAGCAGTTTCTCTCCTTGCCTTCCTCGCAAAAAGTCCTTAAACTCATCCAAGCCTGGTGTACTGGTCACAACGTGTTCCTTCTGGTCAGAGGGTAGACATTTAACGTTGTGCGTCCCCAGAGAGCCTGAACAGACAGGAGGGAAACAACACAAATATTCTCATCATCAGATGAAAAAGATCTTTTAACATAGTAATACATAATCAAGTTCACCAAGTGTACCTTGTTTTGCAAATCTGGTCTCCTGAGAATGCAAGCATGGTGGGCTATTTGGGGCTTTGCTATTGTCCATGTCAAAGTGGGACGGGGTTGGACTGTCTTTCCTCCTCTGGATACGGAAGGTTGTGTTCTTCTGGAGCAACATCTTGGATAATCTGAGAAAGACAAAAGAATTATACACCACCATAATAGAAAACACATAAGAATGAATACTTTCTTCACAATCTGAATAGAAATATATTTCCTAGTAAACAACTATTTTTCAGATTATTATAATAACAAAGCAAGCAAGAGACTGCATGAGACAAACAGCATCGTAATTTCACAGCTGAATGACTAAAACTGAGCAATACCTTTAATAATTATATAACATAATGTACACAAAATAAATTAAATTAAATGAAATGCAGAATATAGGCGGTAAAACCATTTTGTATGTTGGTCAGTGAAATGATATGCATACACTAAAATGTAATAAGTTGACTTTACTTACTAATGTTGACGGAAACCAATTCCGTCAACATTTTAAAGAAAAGTAGCTCATTCATTTTGAGTTAATGCTGAAAATAACTGAGTTTAGTCAACTCATGTAACTGCAGTAAATATTGGTATAGTTAACTTAAAATGATTAATTGTATTGACAATAGTCAGTTCAGACAACTTAGAGTTGAGTTATATTAAGTAAGCAGTATTAATAAAACGTTATCATTACAAGTCCAACCATTCACTTTTCTAGAAAATAATCACAAGTAAGCAAGCTGTTGAAACAAAGATAGAAAAGACAACGTATATTTCAGAGAAAGTTTTGTCCTCACACATTTTCTTAATCTCAAACATGATTTAAAATGCTGAACACATCAAGGTATTTGAGCAATAGGTCCGCAGAAAAGAAGTCTGTAACGCAGCTGTTTATCATGTGAAATCAAATATATAGGCAATTAACCAAATATGAATCCATGTTCTGTTACTTATTTGTGAAATGATGTTTGTGTTGTGGGTCAGCTGCCGTTTCTCCCCATCCTGTGTGTTTGTACCATGCTTTTCCCCTGTGTGTCTGCCTGTGCTGTTTGTTCCCACCTGCGAGAGGCGTGGCCATCCATCCTGCTCCGTTCCCACACAGGTGATCCACATTCCACGATTCACCCCTGCAGTATTTAGACCCGGGCTTTTCACAGCGCCACACCGTTACGTACTTCCACGTGGTATCCCGGCCGCGTGGTCTAGCAAACTGGTTGTTTCTGTGTCTTGTCTGACCTCCGTTCCTCTGCGCAGATTCCTCTGTACCTGTTCCTCACCTGCCGTACCGCCTGCCTGCCTCACGTCGCGCCAAAATCCCCACCTGTGTCCCCTTCCCAGAGACCCCAGGCTCAGCCTCGGTTTCACCTCCCCATTAAATCGCTCGAATCCATTGTCTGTGTCCTGTGTGGAGTCTGTGTGCGGGTCATATATACAGTCTGTTAGTTGTCATAGTAGGTATGGAAAACCGGCCAGAGCTAATTATCATTTTACAGCTTAACAGTACACTAAATACTGTTTCTGAATTGAGAAATATGGCAATGCAGTACCAGAATTGAGCTCTTATTGGTTGTGGCGGAATCCTACAAATGCCAGTTAGACCAAGGAGGTAACCTGAATCTTTTTTCTTATCTTTTTTACACATTATATGTCTGACCGAATATAGTATTTTTTTAAGTTAGCAACTGCATCTTTTTTTAAAATCCTAATTGCGTCTTTTTTTTCTTAATACTAGAATGAACGAATTTTTGACAACTAAAAAATAAAAAATAACGTGCTGTTACCCAGAATATGAAAAGAAATGCCTTGCTTCATGACGAATTCGGACCGTGATGAGAACGGATGAATGGCCTAAATGGTAACATTTTATGTCCACACCTTCTGGACCGAAAAGCGCTTTCTTCCTTCTACCAGTTACCATTCCGCCACAAAGGAAATCACGTCTCCGGTGGTCACGTGCGCATGCGTGATTGGGTCGCGTGCTGCAGAGTTTCTTCGGTCTTTGCGGACGGTTCCTCCTCACTCATTCTTTTACATAATGGTTACTTGAGATGATCTGTTCATGACGTGACATTAATTCTGACCTATCCAGTTTTGGAGTATATTCAAATAATAATATTCTGTTGCCCCCTCAAACCCTGTACACGCGGGGTGGCGCAACCATCCAGTGAACAGACTTTTAAAATAATTTTAAAAAGTTATTTCAATGTTATTGAATTCAAAATAAAAAAGTAGTTGGCACACTGACATTGTTGGAAAAAAATAAACAAACGTTTTTGAAATAACCAGAATTGTGAGCTGTTGAGATAATTCAAAAACTTGAATTACTGCTTGGCAATTTACATCTTCTCAAATGGCAGGGTGGCACAATCATGAATATGATACTTTTTATATATATATATACATACATTTTTTTTTTATATCCAAAATAAAAGACTACCTGTATTCATTGTAGCCATCACTTTGGAGGAAAAAGGGCAGCCTCTCCTTTATGACCCATTGGATCCCCTCCTCCCTGTGCAGCCACTGCAAAGGTCAGCGAGACACATTCCTCAGGTCAGTTCTCTAAATCTACATCCGGGACTTTGTTCATCTTCACAACCACATGCTCACATAGGTGGCGAGACGGTTGTCTACTGGGGGGGTCGAGGCCCCGGTCAGTGGGCGTGGCTTGCTGCAGCGGAGGACTGACTGGGAGACGAACAGACCCGTCTCCCGGTGGTACAGCACAGCCTCTGCGAAACACTGGGGAGAGGATGGAAGGGTTGAACGGTTTCATCAACAAAGTGTCCAAGTCATCTATAAATAGGGACTACTTTACCGGCAAAGTTAAGAAATCATTGAAATAGTGGGCTAATACGTCATCGGCTGCCAGGGATTTGTCCTGCATGGAGACAAATAAACTTTATTTCTCTAGTCCAGTAAAACAGGAAAAATGTAATGTTAACTGCCGTTGCAGAAGGTACGTTTGAATAATCAGAACGAATACTCACAAAGTTGTCAGCCGTAAGATCCGTGAACTCTTAAAGATAGCGAAACGTGAGTTTGAAACCAAGATCGGTTTCAAAATGCGCATTTAACACAAGCTCTGATGATCTGATCTTACCTGTCGAAACCAATGCACACATGGTTTACTGCTAAAACACGAATGACCAGTTATTCGACCTCTGCCCAGAAAACAGCCATGCAGTTGCATTTGAACACGCGAGGTTGCTATGGAAACTGATTCATTTCCAAAACACACGAATCTGTGAAAGTTTAGCCAGAAAATGTTGAATACTGGTTTCTTTCTTATAATGTAAGACACCAAGATGGTTTTTAGAATAATTTACTGCACTAGCTTTACAATTACAATTCAGAATCCCTTGTGAAATGTATTTTGAGAGAATGTCAATGTTATTGTAGTTAAGGTGAGGTTTACCACTAGATGGCGCCAAACACTGCAGAAATGATTATTCAAAACAAAAAACACCACAAGATCACAATATGGTCCAAATATGACCCATTAATTCAGGAGACTAATATAAAAGAAATCAAATTTATTTAAAAACTGCTCTGAAAACACATTGGTAAAAGCTGGATATTCGGGAAGAATTCAAAACATTTTGTACAGTGTACATGAAAAAAATGCAGAAAAATTCAGTCATTGTTCTGCCGGCAAGACTTCATATTCATAATTAAAAAAACACAAGAAATGTGTTGAAAAAGCAGTGAAAATACAGTAAAAGTACAAAACGGGCACAAATACATTGATAGGTAAGGAAGTTGCTGTCATGTTTGGGGTACTCGTCACTTTCCTTGTTGCTATGCTGTTCACCATTAGACAAAAAAAAAAAAATAGAAGTGACCTCAGCATAACATGCAAGAATACAGTAGACTTTCTGCTCATAGTCTCCTCACATTTCGCTTGCTTTGTGCACTTCCTGGCAGAAGTATGTCCTTCTTGCGTCGGCCCACAGATTGGCTGCCACACTCTCTGGAGCCGTGGAAAGCACACAAGCAGGCCGTGCAGAACCGGAAATCACAGTCTGCTCTGCTGCACACGCCCTCCTGCTTCACTGAGTGACACCTCGCAGGATGCTGACATCGAGGGCATGGCTTGAGGCACTCATCGTTGAAGAGGGTCTGGGCAACCTGGCGATATAAAAATGTCAAATAAATACCTCACGTAAATTAACTTTCTGCAGCAATTTCTACAGTACGATCAATTGCACCCCAATTAACCTCCACAAAAAAGCAATTAATGCTAAATATCATAGAATTGAGAATCATTAGACATCTATACAAAATTATACAACCGCAACGTGTCTAATCATTTTCAAACTCACTTCTAAAAATTTATCTCGTTTGCTGCTGCCTGATTTCAAGGCGCTGTGCTGGGATGGGGTTAAAGTGCTATTTCCTGACTTTGGGGTGCAGAAGCTGGAAGTTCTAGACTGAGCCTGAACCGTCTTCAGGGCCGACCTTTTGGGAAGAGAATGCCGTGTCTCTGCGTCAGGGACATGGACGGCACCACCGAGCTGTAAGACGACAACATCACAAACGCAACACATTTTAACATTCAGCTGCCGACTATTCAAATGTTACTTCAAATTGAATCAGAAACCTGCTGTTGTACTGGTCTAACAGATTACTTTCTGCAAGCCGTCTGCCTCAGGCGACCATCAGTGTCATAGCCAATGTTTTTAGAAAATACCTGCTTGAGAAGGACCTGAGTAAAGCCCGTATGCGTATAGACCCATTTTACATTGGCAAGGCATCAGGATAGTGTCTGATGTGGTAAATATCTTACCTCAATAGCAGCCTCCACATCACTCAGGTAGTTTTTTCTCCTAATACTAGCTCGCTTGTCTTGATGGATGATTTGATTCCATTCTTTGGACACTCGACCAAACCTGTACAATACAAATAATTGTATGTATGAGACCAATATTGCCATCCCTCATTGCACATTAAATAAGGGTTGCGTCCTTGACTGCTTTTAAAAGCTTTATCACGTTAATTTAAATGCTGCAGTCATTTCTGTTTAGTGAAGAACAAACTGAATCCAAAAATAGGAAAGCAGATAGGATTTGACTTTTAACAAGACTAATGACAGCTAAATGTGTTGAAAACATTAACTCCTTACATGTAGATGCTTTCAGAGGAGAGGTGGCTTAGGATGATGCAGAGGATGTGCCCCAGGTTCCTCTTCCTCAGCTCCGTGAGTATGTCTACCTTTCTCAGGCCCATCTTTCTGCCGATCAGCCCTGCCAGCGGCATGGTGGTCGTCAAGGTCACTGGGGTCTGAGCTAGCGCTTCAGTGGACTTCAGCTGCTCCTTTAGGCTTGGACTTTGACCAACAAACATTCGGGAGTTGAGCTGGCACATGGCATGAATCAGCTGCAGAGCTGGAGTCAGAGAGAGATTGACAGGGGGTTCCCTGAGAGGCGTGGCATCCAGGTTAACAGGAGCCGTGTTTAGGGGAGTCAGGTGTTCTGGCCTGGCTGTAGTCGATCTTATTGGTGTGGCATCGTCTTGCCTTGCAAAGGTCCAACAATCGGATGTCATGCTATCACTACATATAGCAGAAAGGGCACTGTGAGAAAAAACCTCATCTGTAGAAAGGCTCTGACGGAGCTGCCTGTGCTTTCTCTCCGCTGGGTCTTCCTCGGACTGAGAGCCCCCTTCTTTAAGAGTAGAAAGCCTATTCTGACGCTGTAAACGGGAGCGCCGCCTTGCATCTGTCAGATTTGGAGTTTCAGGGTTTCCTCTGGAGGTAGACAGCAGCTCCAGGAATGAGCCATCATGGTCCACTGATGAGTCTTGGGATTTATCAAGGGTCAAGGAACCAAAGCCACTGTCTTCACACACAGACCTGTGACAGGGTTGGATGTGGGTTAAAGGAATTGTTTTCCTTGATACATAGAACACATTTTTTATTCAGCTGGGCAAATGTACCAAATTTAGAAAGTATTAAAGAAGCATGTACCTGATATATTTGGGTGTGCGTGAGGATGAGGGTGAGCACAAAGAACTTGCGCTGTCATATTGGTTATTTGAGACACTGCTGACCGGTGATTGAGAAGTTTCCTTAGATGGAGTAGGCAAGGATTCGACAAAGCTCGGAGTCTCGATATCAATTTGATCAGAGGCGGAAATGCTGTCGTTAAAATCTGCATCTGAGAGAGAGGCGCTTCCCTCAAAACTGCAAAGGTAACCGGAGTGTTGTTTGCCGTCTTCAAGAGTCGAGGTCCTCACTTGATTGAAGAGGAGACGGCGTTTCCTACCAGAGAGCTCCAAGTCAGGCTGCAATTTTAAAGTGTCTAGGGAGTCGAAGGATGCGTCGAGCCAGTGTTCAGACCGAACGCTGATGGAAGATTCAGTCTTTCTGCTACGCGGGGATCGGGTGTGGTCAGCTTTGACATCTGTGGAGGGTTTGCACATTAGAATTCTGTGTCGCATCAGGGCGTGTCTTTTGTAGACTTTAGGAGTTTCACACCAGCTGACCGCTGGTGGCCGCTGGAGACCCCTGGGGTCTTTGCACACATAGCTAACTGGCTCCCTGGTGCTCTCCTTGGGTGTGACAGACAGACAGATGTTCTCTTTAGGTGTTTCATTGAATTCCACTGGAGACAAAGAGCGAAAGGAGTCCGCTCCACTGACGCTCTTTGGGCTGTGGAATAATCCAGAGAATCCGCTGTCAGAGCAATCGTCATAACGATGCTGGCTTTTGCAGCTCTGGAGGTAGACGATGGATTCCGGAGTGCACTGCATTATCCTCCTCCCGTGTGCACGTTTCGTCCTACACTCCGTATTCTCCAAGTAGATGCCCACTGACCTGCACACAATAATAAAGTAGTTAGGGAGGTGCAGCATAAAATGGTCCTGTCTGCTAACTAGTTTATTAAAGCTAGTTTAGATGTCGCCCGTATTTGCGAGGGCTTATTATTAATGTCGTGTCGGACTCGCATCGAGAAAAGAGATGAGCCAAGTGATAAAAGGACGTCGATAATATCTCCGTCGTGACAGTGTTTTATGGTAACTTAACGTTAGGTGACAGTTTTTTGGCCTAAAATTGTCAGCGGGTTCATCAGCAAACATTCGCAGCTGGTTCATCAGCGTTGCTACGCGAGGGCGTGTTTCCCATTTAAACCCCCCGCCGCGGACCCTCTGGTGCCGCCTTAAGGAGCAGCTGAGCCCGGCTAGCGAAGACTCAGATAAGGGTCAAGAATAGGGTGTTCCACCTAGTTTATACGTCTTAGATATATTTATTTTATGAGCAATTAGCTCGAGTTTGATCAACTGTCAAGTTATCAATAACTCCGCCTCCCAAAACACCAGCTAATGTTTAGACACATGCCGTTAATTTAACTAGCTATCCAGTCGTAAATTACAAACAAAACGTTTCATCATCAAAAGTACTTACCTATTAACTGCACAAACTGGGCTACGGCATGTGTCGCGTGGGAAACATAAATTCAGCCCGGCTCAGTTCCGCGCCTCGGCTTGCACCCTCGGCCACTGTTTGGTAAATGTTCATCTGCGGTCAACGAACAGCCACGTTTTCAAATTTGGAGCCACTCCGGGATAGGTCACGTGTTTCCGGTTCCAACTGCGACTTCTTTCCGCGTGTGGTTACCATAGTAACAGGAGTATCCAAACGAGCAGCAGGTAAAACTGTTCGTTTCATTTGATTTCACTAAGATAAATTAACATTATCCCGAGGAAAACGGACATTTCCTCAATGGAAATTGTGTCTTGACTTTTTGTTCATTCAAAAACATCGAGCAACCCGTGTTATTCGATCACCACTCATTGCGCGAGCGTTGTAGCTCATTTCACTTAACTTTAGTTAACGTTACCTAAGCTAACAGGTTTATTTGGGGTTAGCTGGCTTTAATTAACTTCTGCTAGAAAGAAAACCACACGGTCTGATTAACTGAGTAACGTTAAGCGGATACGGTTATTCTCCCCAGGTATGAGCAAAGATGCAACTTTCTCCCGAAATCAGCCCTTCGCCGTCGACTATGGCGGAAAGGTCCTTGTGGAGCATCTGGAATACGATTACATTGGAAAATGCAGGGATGTAAGATACCTGGAAATGATCCTGAGAGTACTTAGGTAAAAGCCACATGACTGGGTGTGAAGAGATAGAATTGTTTTCATGTTCATTAATTATTATCTTTCATCCCAGATAATTGAGATTTACATTACTTAGTACTGTAAATACATTACATACTAGCAACACAAACTGCAAAAATCGACTGACAAATTGGACTGAGCATAGATAGGTTTTCAGAAAATAACGTTTTACTTCTTATTAAGGTCTGGCGACGAGGGCATTTATCCTCATTTGATTGAGTTCTGTGAGAGTCACTTGGAGAAACTGGACCCCAGTAGTCGAGCGCTCAGGAAGGAGAACCCAGTGGCCACAGCAGCCAGCCTCCCCAGCGATGAGTGGAGCCAAATTGTTGAAGATTTGAAGGCACGCAACACATCTTAGATTTGATTTGATCCGTTCAATCAGCTCATCATTTTAAAATTAAATTCTTTGTTTATGACAGATGTGGCAAGAAGAAACCAAAAAGACGGAAACTTCCCTAAAGCAGATGTTTGATGAATTAGAGAATAAAAATATGCCACCTATAAGAGGTTCCTATTGCACCGTTCCTCTTCATCAGGTAAATATTGTCTTGAAAGATGTAATATGCATATTTATGTAATACTAAAATGGATTCTTATGTTGTTATAGACTTCAGTTCCAAAAGAAAAGTGGAATTCTTCCAAACGGACTCTGCCAAGAGATTATAGGGAATGGGACAAGTGAGTCAATTTGTCTCTACATTTGTCTTTTGTATCCAGACTATCCAGATCCACGCATTTCACTTTGTAAAAAAAATGCTCTATAGCTCAGCTTTTTTTATTACAATAATCCACAGTTGGACAGAAAATCTTCCTTCACCAAAATATATATTTTGCTCATTTCCAGTTTTGATGCTGAGGAAGAATGTGAAAGAATCGACAGGAATTTGATCAAAAGCAGTCCAGCTGTCAACACAAGACCTTTCAAAATCAAGACTGAAGTGGATGTTACATGTAATGTATTATGCGAAAAAGCTCACATACATTTTGTTGTGATAGTGATTGATTGTGTGTACTTATACTGTTCTTAGTATTGAGGGTTTGTGTCTCAAATGGGTCATCTCTGCATCCAGTGCTCACGGAACAGGAGAAGCTCCCTCTGGCAAATCGCGAAAAGGACAAAGGCAATGAAGCTTTCAGAGCAAACGACTACGAGGAGGCTGTTGCATACTATTCCAGGTCGGGCTCGTAAAACAACTCCATTATTATAACGAGCATTTCAGAGCTCCCAGGGGGATGTTTCCTGGTGGTTAATTAGACTCCTACACTCATTTAAGTCTGATTCCATTTATATTTACTGTGCCTCTCAGTGTTTGCCCATTATCATGAATGATGGTTTGTATTATTTTTGGCCTTTCATTACAGGAGCCTTTCCATTAAACCAACAGTGGCTGCGTTCAATAACAGAGCTCAGGCAGAGATCAAGCTAAAGCATTGGCACAATGCCATGAGCGACTGTCTGAGGGTACTCGAGCTGCAACCTGGGAATGTGAAAGGTTCTTTCCTTTTTTGTACAAAAATGAACAGAAGTGTGATTATAATGCAGGTATTAAATCATTTTTGAAAAGTATTTTTGTGAAGCCCCTTTGGGAATTTTTATACACTCCAACGTAACAGGACAGGAGTTGACTTTGGCTTCGGTGTATAACATCAGTACTGTGTACGTGATTTATTTTTCATGATCAGCCCTGCTACGCCGTGCAACCGTTTATAACCACATGGGCAACTTCCAAAGGGCTGCCGAGGACCTGAGGGTGGTGCTCCTGGAAGAGCCGCAGAATCCTGCAGCCATGGTAGGTGATTTTTGGTCCTTTAGGTGTCACTCTATCTGTGTGAGATCAGGCACTTGAAAACAGCTTGCAGTTGCTTTAATACATCACACATAGGCTTATAAAACTGCAATTAGACAATGGTGTATTTATTCAGTTGTTTTATCGCAAATGATAAGCTAGGGTGCATTTTCTTCATAGTCATTAACTATAGAGACATTGTTTATATGCCCATTAAATATGTATTAGGGATTTTAATGTACTGTAAGTGAATAGGGAGAGGATTTTCCTTTTACATGGCAAATCAAGCAATTCCCTGTAGCTGAGAGAAATGTGGTGCCTGTGGTGTCAGTCGTCACCTTTGCTGACTTAGGGAACAGAACTTGGGTTCCTGCTGTTGAACAATTCTAATTTTTCAATTATTTGTGGTTTAGCAACTTCTGTCCAAAACTGAGAAGAAGATGAAAAAAGATGAACCGGGGAAGCAATGTAAAGGCAAGACGATCCTCATCCAAGAAGTAGAAGAGGAAGAGGACTGCAATAGCGATGAGACAAAAGCAAAACAGACGGGTATGAATATATATATTTTTCGCGTCATGCATAAAGCAGTCTTCTGCAGTTGTTCAGCAGAAATAATATTTTTTATTTATTTATTTTTTAAGGCTGCATACAAAACCAGCCCCTTTTCACGACAGTCATACTGAGTGCAGCCGTGTCGGATCCCATTTACTTGGCTCCACAGATTACTCTGTCCAATGATACTTTCAGCAACCAATGTCAAATGAAAATTGAAGGAAAGGAATGAATGAACTATATATATATATATTTCAAAGAGTTTATAAACAGTGCCGTAATTACTTAGTTTTGACACCAAAGTCAACTGAAAGATGTACTTTCCTGCTCTGAGCCTTTTACAAAACATAGAACTGTGACAGCAGTTCATGAGCAGAACAACAACACGTTTTCTGCTCATGTCTTATCATGTTCTCATTAAGTGGTTATAATAATCTACTACTATTACTTTAATCTCATCACAAAAGTATGGGATCTCTGCATTGCCTTTATGAGACTATTTCGACGCTTCACTGTAGTAGATGCGTGTGTATTTCTGACTGATTCAAACACAAGACGTTGGCAGGGCAGCGCCTTTCCCCCCGAACCCTCCCGTCCATAGATACATGTAAAGCCTTTATATGTATCTATGCTCCCGCCTGCTCGGGCTCAGCCATCCGGGTAACGTGACACGCTGTCCGGGCATGTGTGTGTTCTCCGCCCTGCCCCCACTCTGCTCTCACGCTTCGCCGTCTGAGCCTCTGTGAAGCGCCTCAATGTCACGTGTGTCTACCCCTCCCCCCGCTGTGATGTAACCGCTGACTCCTTCCTGTGGGTGTGCTCCCCCCCCCCCTTCTAGCTCATCCGGTTGAACCCAGCCAGCCTGTGGGAGGGGAGGAGAGCTCAGCTGCTCCTGGTCGAAGGGAAGTCATGGGTAACGCTCAGAAGAAGCCCCACGGCAGAGGGGACAGGGGTCCTCACGGCGAGGCCGGCGCCCCCCACCATGGCCCCCGCAGGGGCAAAGGAGCCAGCGCGGACAAGTACCGAGCCGCGCACGACTCCGGGGAGAAGGCGGCCAACGGGACGGGCAAGCGGGGCTCCACAGCCTCGGTGCCGGCTGATCCGACCGGCGGCAGTAAGGAGAGCCATGCGGGGGGAGCTGTCAACCTGGATGCCCCGTGCGGAGCTCTGCCCCCCCCTCTCGCCCGGCTAAAGAACGAAGGGAACCTGCTGTTTAAAAATGGACAGTTTGCCGATGCGCTGGAGAAATATTCACAAGCCATTCAAGGCTACACGGAATCAGGTAGGGTCGCTGGCTGCTGTTTGTTCCGCAGTCCAAGCTGGGGGGGGGGTACATCCCTCACACGGTGTGTGTCATTCCTCACACGGTGTGTGTCATCCCAGTGTTAGAATGGAGGAAGTTTATAGTCACTGACAACAGCGTGTTATAAACAAGTGCTCCGCGGCTTAACGGATACCACTCTCACCCAACATGGAAGGTTCTTTCTTTCTTTATGATGTGCAATCTTATAACTGTCCTATAACCGGCTCATGCAGCGTAAATCAAAGGTCACGACCTTGCAGTTATAAGGTTTGTGCTTCCATTTAGTTATTTTTGATGTCTCCCTGTGCAGGAAACCTACATGCATATATTATTAAAATATTCCTAAAGCAATGTTTTCCATGTGAGAAATAATACCTCAACAGAAATGACCTTCCAAGAAGCACCAGAGCACACGCAGTCTTGAAAAAAAGTTAAACAAAGGACATTTTGGCCCGTTTGTTTGTGCACCTATGCGTCAAAATGTGTCCGTCCTGTGTGTCGTACTCTGACAGTGTTTATGTTTCAGTGCTAAGCCTCACAGCTCAGGTCCATCCAGGTTACATGGCCGCTAACCACTCACGGTGAAATGAAATCTGTAGGACCACAAGCTATGATTTTCCCAGTGAGAGGGAGAAAGCAGGAGACTGATGGAGGAAGAGAAACTGCTGCCCGTGGAGCACACGCTCTCTGTCTATTTATGGGCTGCTATAATGTACCCCACTAGCCCTACTAGCCCCACTGCGCTGCTGGATGTGGGAGGCGACTGGACATGGTCCAAAGTCCTCCATCAACCGGCTAAAACGGACACCATTCAATAACGTATACATTCAACTTGTATTGTACGAGTCTATAAACTGCTTTAGGTCCTTTTTTGTACCTCAAACATACTACTACCCGAATGTCACAGTGCCCTGACTGAGAGGGAGCAGCCGCTGGGACATCACCCCCCCCTCCCTCACAGTGTCATCATTCATAATCTGATGAGATGGCACGCTGAGATGTATTTAGTGACGCAGAGGAATTAGCCTGCGTCAGTGACAGCCGTGGTGAAAAGGGAACCCCGCTGGGCCAGAGGAGAGAACAGGGATAAGCCCCGTGTGCAGTCTGCATCAGTGTGTGAGGATAAAAACACCCTAAAAGGGGGTTTGATGAGCTCTTCCCACGTGTTTTTCACCCTGCCGTGCTGCTGAGGTAAAACAGGCGGATATATTGGCTGGTATTAGTGGGAGAAGTAGGCCTGCTGACTGTTTAAGGTCCCAACATAGAGTTTAGGAGCTGTGATACATCCAGCCCCAAACCTCAAATTACACGTTTGGTTAAAAATATGCAAGTTGCTCAAACAAGAGGAATGGTGAGCGTGTGAAGACATGCGTGCGTAAATGCAGCTTTAAAGCTATTCTGGCATTCTAATGAATGGCAGAATAGCTCTATTCTGGCATTCTAATGAATGCTGGCATTCTATTGCCGTAGAAGACATTTCAGGTTAGTTTCTTACCATTCAAGTCCTCTTTCTAATGCTGGTTATTCATTTAGTCTTTACAGGACTCCACTACCTCAGACACACACACACACACACACACACACACACACACATCGATATAAAGCAAGTGTCACGAGATATGGACTACATGGTAGATACTAAACCTACTAAACGGATGTCCTTGTTGAACAGTGCGCCCGTGTTTCTGTGTGTCGGGTCAGAACACTTCAAACTGATTCATCCTGAACATTATAAACTATTCATTGCACACACTAGTTTTCTAAAGCCATACATCTAAAACAGCCCCGAGTTCCTTAATAAAGCCCATTTAAATGTTTGCCGCTCTTAACAGAGCTGCTGTTTCACTGTACGGATTGGTACACTACATCATGCTGTTTGTTGTGTCTCTTTGTCCACACAGGCATCGATAGTCCGGATGACTTATGTACTCTGTACTCTAACAGAGCGGCTTGTTACCTTAAAGATGGGAACAGTCAAGAGTGCATACAGGACTGCACAAGGTGAGACGCGTCATTCCCTGATCTCATAATATGGTGTGAATATGTGGAGCAATGTTAGCTGTGAGTGTCGACCCACATTTTAGAAATCAATCATTTTCTAAGGGGATCAACCCTGAGGCCTTTTGTAAGGGATTGCAAGTAATCTCTTTAGAAGTTTTCTAAGCAGTAAACTCAGGATAACTTGTGACAGACCATGTGTATGATTGCTTAAGATTCAGATTCAAGGGAAACCAGGAAAAACTGAGTTGTGTGAAACTTTACACCAATACTACATGAGTACTACATACATGATAAGCACAAGAAGACTTCTGGTACTCTCAGACAGAGCATCTATAGCACAAGTAGCAGACTTGATCCTTTGCTCTCGTCTCATCGCATCTATTTATACCAACCAGAGCCCTGGAGCTCCAGTCATTCTCCCTCAAGCCCCTCCTGCGCCGGGCCATGGCTTACGAGTCCCTGGAGCGCTACCGGAAGGCCTACGTGGATTACAAGACCGTCCTGCAGATAGACTGCGGCGTGCAGGCCGCGCACGACAGCGTCAATAGGTATAAGCCTTCACCTCGCGTATGTGCTGAGACGGAAGGGTGTTCAACGTCCCTTATTACATGACCCCGTCCCATTTTGCCTCACTTTTAGCTAAATATTCCATTGACCATAGCAGCTATTCCGATGACTGTGTGATGAAAGTGGATAGTATGGTACCCATGTTTTAAATCCTTTTCTATTCACTGGTATGACGTAATCATAATGTGACATAAGCAGAAGACAAAATTACCTCAAATCAAATGAACACACAGTGTCTAATCAGTGGCTTACAGGTTTAGCAGGTTTTCAAAGGAAGCTCCAGCTAATTATGGCTCTCAGAGTGCGTTGTGCTCTCTCTGTTATGCATGGGAGACTTTGTATGTATGAAGACAATTTAACATTAAACTGCTTTAAAGGAAAAAGGAACAGCATGCATAAGTACATAAGGTGTACTCAAAATGTGAATATATTCCACTTGCTTGTGATTCCTTGTGTATCATTCATGAATTGACTGATCGGTGTCCTCCTCCAGAATCACCCGGCTGCTGATTGAGCAGGACGGCGCCGAGTGGCGGGAGCAACTTCCGGACATCCCCCTGGTCCCCCTGTCGGCTCAGCAGCACCGCAGAGAGGAGCCGCCAAGCGCAGAAGTCCTGCAGGCTCGAGCAGAGAAGGCAGCCATGGACACAGGTCTGCTCTTTAAAAGAAAGTCGTCAACACAATTGTTGAAGTGGTATCTCTCCCAAAACCCAGGATTGAACATTTGCACCGTCAATTCTGTGGAATATTGTTTGTGCTACAAAGTCTCGACTGGAACTTAATACAACATATGGACTCTTATATGTGACATGAGTGTAAGGTGGTGCTGTAGCTTCTGAAGCCCGTGTTGCTCCCTGGTGGTGCCTCTTTAAAGCCACAGGATTATTATTAGAATTTATATGAGGTAAATATCCATAGATTGGCTCCCAGTTGAAACCCACCGGGGTACCAGCACTGTACTGGCTGTGGACGGGGAAGCAGCAGAACGTACACCTAAAAGAAAGGCCCAGTTAAGGCAGCCACCATTAAGGCAAATAAATATTCTAAATATAGCATAGCATTTTTTATTCTGAGACATATTCCACACATTCCTCGGGGTTGGAGGAGAATATTAAAGGCCTAATGTTTTATATAAGTGGACGTGTCACCTCTGTTCACCGTCGTTTTCCCACATTCCCAGGGCTGTTCTACAGGGTTTATTTTAAAAATCTAATGAAATAATACACCTGGCAGTTATTCCTCCCAGAAGGGGCAGATTGATTCGCCCGTAGTCCACTTCAGGCCTGATGCTGAGTCATGCAGCACATCTTGCTGGCACAGCGTTCCTTTAGGGATAAAAGCCTCAAGCCTTACAGCAGAGAACACCGGCATTTTTCTTGGAAATGAAGGGATGGTAAATTAACATAGGGTGTGTCAACGTGGATTTAGTGCTTCAACAGAAGGAGGGTTGGTCTTCATGTGAGTAATCGCCGCTTCCTTTTGTCTTCCAGAGAGGAAAGCAGAAGCGCGTTTCACGGCATTGAAGCAGGAGGGGAACGACTTTGTGAAGAAGGGCCAATACCAGGAGGCACTGGGAAAGTACAGCGAAAGCCTCAAGCTAAAGCCTGAAGAGTGCTCCATCTACACCAACAGGTGAGGCGCTGTGTCACGCTACAAACACAGACGCCTCTGTGGTCTTTTCCACTTTCGCTTCCTCATAGTCGTCATGGTCTATTTCGTAACAAAGCGGGAATGTGCGGACACACCCTGAAAAATGGCTTTTGGCTAAATACAAGCAGATGGAATAGTTGTCCGCGGCTGTCCTCTGCCAGGCGGGGCTTCGTCCCCGGGTCTGATCCCACCAGTCGTCAGTCTGTCAGCGGTCATAAATTAGCATTGTTGATTATTGTTGAGTAAGTCAGAGCTGCCTGCATCATCCCGTCTCCGTTTATAGAAGCTGGCACATCTCCAGGGACAGCAGGCTGAGTCTTGTGTGTGTGTGTGTGTGTTGATTGGTGCTTGCTGGGGTAAAGAGCCCTTATGTGAAGCCACACACACCTGCTTTGACTGAAAACACTGTAAACACATTTAAAGCTAGGGTTGGTAATCTCTAGATACAACGAGAATACGCTAGATAAAAAATAATTTATCCAAGAGTTCTCACAGATGTCAAGCTAGCAAGTGCTGAAAGGGGGGCGGGCAGCTGGGTAGACGGACAGGCAGCCCGTCCATTCATACCAGTCAGGCCTGGTGAAATGATCGGATTGGCTTGTGTAAGGATTCAAGGACTCTTCATGATGCAACAAAGGGAAGCACAACGCGATTTAGTGGAACAGGACAAACACAACGATGCAGGGATACATTCCTGTCGAGCATTCTTTGGACTCAGGTGCAGCTTAATCCAGTCCTACAGGCTTCAAAGGGCCTGGTTTTCTATCAGAGCAATCGATTAATTGATCCTCTGGCAGGATATATCACCCATAATACCAGAAATGTTTTCAAAGAGGTTCACTAGACCTTTCTTTGATGAAGAAAGCAGAACTATTAGAATAACCAATCCTTGTGTCATTTATTCCATGCCCACAGCCGTTATTATGAAGTCTCAGCTGATCAGACTCATGATAGCGTGTAGTTGCGCATTGAATTAGCTGCTGGTGGCAAATATAAAAATCCCAAGTGACGTGTGCGTGTTTGCAGAGCCCTGTGCTACCTGAAGCTGGAGAGGTTTGCTGAAGCCAAGAAGGACTGTGACGCAGCACTGAGGGTGGAGCCAAACAATAAGAAGGCCTTCTACAGACGAGCCCTGGCTAATAAAGGCCTCAAGGTGAAGAGAGTTGCCCAGCGATCACTAATGCCAGAGGGGGAAATTGTTCATTTAATTAGGGGACAGGGTCAGGGGTCATTCCTTTAATACCACTTGCACATACATCTTGTTTGCTCCAATAAAGCTGTATATTCTCTGTCCCGCCAACAGGACTACTTGGCGTGCAGAGCCGACCTACAGGAGGTGCTGCAGCAGGATCCCAACGTGCAGGAGGCCGAGAAGGAGCTGGAGGAGGTCACTGTGCTACTTGGACAGAGTTTGGCCATCGCCGATGCTTCACTAGCCAAACCCAGAAAGACTGTCCCCATCACTGAGGTGGGTACCCACGGATCAGGTGACGCGTGTGAAGGTGTTTGTTTAGTGGCCATAGTCACAAGGGCCTTGTTACAGCTCTCTCTCTCTCTCTAGTCTCAGACTAGAGGAATGTACCAAAACCAAATCATCTTTCAAAAAGAGGTATATTCTAAGGAGGAGGGATAATTATCCGAGGTTTGGCAGAATGTGGCCTCAGCTTAACGCCTGCCTGCCTCCTTCTGGCCTCTGCAAATCTGTCAGATTTAGTGTCTTCCCATGAACGCAGAGCGCACACAAAGTTGCAGTCTTTCCTCTAAAGCGCCTTTAACCCTCAATCGTGTCTCCGCCTTCCCAAGGTTGACGGAGACGAGGAAACGGCGAGCGTGTCGGTCTCTGGGGCCGGCCACAGAGGAGAGGCCGCCGCCATCAACCTCCGGCCGACCAACGCCTACGAGTTTGGCCAGGCTTTGAACACGGCTCGCTGCAGCGGAAACACGGCGGCCTGCGCCGACCTGCTGGCCTCCACGACCCCGGAGACGCTCCCCCAGCTCCTTAGTACCCAGCTGGATGGACACACCATCGGCTTCATCATGCAGGCGCTGGACTCCCACCTCCTGGAAAGAGACCCCAGCCTGGTGTACCAACACCTCAACCATCTGCACACCGCCAATAGGTTCTCGGTAAGACAGGATGTTGTGTCCAATTCATAGAAAGTTTTGAAATAGGATATTTTCATGGAAATAACCGTTTCATATATTTTTTGTGATTCCACTTCCTGTGGCGATAACCTGTGCTGTTTCTGGTCCAGCTTGTGTTGATGATGCTGGAGAAGGACGAGCGGAACCACATGACCCACCTGTTCGAGCGTCTGTCCGCCGTGCATAGCTCAGAGTTCACTAAGAACGATCTTCAGAATCTGGCCAACAAATACATCTGACTCGTGCGATTATTTGCTCCCCCGCTGCATGCGCCGCCGCGCTACTACAACTCCTGGATTCTATGCAAAGACTCTGCACAAGAACTGAGCACACAAAAAGCAGGAAGCTGCAGAATGTGTCCTGAAGCAATGCAGCAAACTGAGTCCCACTCACACGACCATCTGATCACTGTACATTTTCAGGGACGCCACAAGGAATATATTTTTCCCTCTAGAACGTTTTGCTATGCAAATTTAATTTTGTACCACCACTAACCATTTGCATTGTATAACAGCGGGACCGTATGGACCTTTCCCTTTACTGATAAATAGTCCAATGTACAATGTTATGCAATGACATTACTGAGCTCTGTTGTTCCGATCATAAGTTGATACTAGTCCTTTGCTGAATGAACTTTTGTCAGACACCACTAAGATCTGAAATAATATTCAGTGCACACTGAATACGAACTCCCCAAGGAACACGTGCTACAGAGTGAATACGTTTCAGAAGCATAAAGATAAAGAAACCATTCTATTATGCCCACATGTTCTCTGGGGGAGAAAGGCCTGCATGACGTCTTGTTGCTGTTCAGTGCAGTATGATAGTGGCACCGCTTGGACTGAAATCTACTGAATGTTGTAGGACAAAATACAATTTGTAACCTTACATGCATTAAATACTTTATTCAGCTATGCAGTTAGCAGATCTGGGTTCTAATGTCAAGGCACTCAAGGCTGGAGGATCAACATCAGAGTTTACCAAACTAGCCAGCGCACATCTGCAGGTCCACGGAAATTCAGCCGTGCAGATGTGCACACTGGAGAGAAGCATCTTTCCCAGATGTGTGCCTTAGAGTTCAGGCTAGGGGTTGGACTCTTGGTTGGGTATTTAATTCTCATTTTGGAGTGTGGAGATACTCCAGAAGAGGGTGTTTGTTTGTCCCTCAGTAGCTTTTATCAACATGTTTAATTGTTTGGATTTGTGCATCAGAAATCATATGTATTAAGTTACATGTGTAATTGTTTAAATTCTTCTGGAATGAATTTGCAGATTTAAGTTATTTGATGTGAAAGGGACAGTTCACCCCATAATTAGAAATACATTGGTTCTATCTGCAAAGCTATTAATGCACTATGGTGCCTGGTGTAGGTGTTTATCGACGTATAGAATAGTAAATAAAACCAAACATGCCAGTCACTCAATATGATCCACAGATGTGTGAGCAATTTCATGGCGTTTTTGATTTTGGGATGAACTGCCCTTTCTAAGTTTCTCATTTTTCCATTCCAGTCATCCAAACCTGTGTTTTCAAATGTTTTATCAATTCTACATGAATGTACCAAATGAAGTTCAGGGGGAGAAGTTCGGGGGCGAGAGGCAATAATTTCTCTTCAGCATTATACTCCTGCAGAGATGTAAAACAATTGTAGAGCATTCACAGAGGGCTATTCACTCAACTGGAAAAACATGCTTTCGTCTGTGCAGCGATGAAATCAAGTAGTTCATTAAAAATTTTAATTGAACACCGTAATTATTTACAGCACTTGCATGAACCTGAAAAAAAAAAAAACTCGGGACACATTTCATATAGATTTTTTATTTTTCTGATATGCATATACTAAAGCAAATTACCCAACAAATATACAAATACCTTTCCCCATTCTGCATGAATTACATCTGGGACTGGTGTTCAAATTAGGATCAAGAAACACCAGTTCTGGCGAAGGCCCGAAAAACCAAACCCAATGAGGGGGAAGGAAAAAAATGTCATTTTGCTTTTAATATAGGGGAGGAACCATTGTCGGTGCTCATTCGGTAAGAGACGAAATACCCTTCAGGGTGCTTTCACAGGCTTAGAGGACACGTCTGCTCAGCAGCAGCACCGACTGGCCAAATCAACAAGGAGGGGAAACCCACGTAGCCATGGTAACCCGCGTGGATTGCGGAAGGTCGATGTTAGAAGAAATACAGGTTAACCGGTGCCGAGGCACCTGTACGTTGCGTAGCGTGTAGAAAAACAGCGGCCCATATGTCTGTCGAGTTCTGGGTCTAGTCTTGTCCGCGGTGGACCAAAGGACACGCTGTACTGTGTCCACGGTATAAAATCTAACAAGAGCCTGAGTGCTGTCTTTGGTAGGCAATTGAAAAGTCTTCATTTACCATGTCTACCACAGTATGAATGGTGTGTGTATGTGTGTGTGTCCCTCCTACACAGACGAGACATTTTGCAACCTATTATGAGTCTTGAAGACACAGCGGAGAGAGAGAGAGAGACAAACGCAGAGAACACAAACAGCTTGTAGAAGGCACCATGAGTTAACGAAGATATCAGAGCCTTCTAGCTCGGCAAGGCCATCAGCCCCAATAAATCACCTTTGAACAGGACAAATCTTTTCTTTTATACAATTTCACAGAATTGAACCAACCCATTGGTTAATTTCTTACTGTAATGACTCAGCATTATCTTTGAAAATCGTGGCCTTCCAGAGACCACTTTCTCAAAATCACGCCCTGCCCCTTAACACATCAGCACACACTTTCCACAGAAACCTGACGAAGACCAGGTTCTCGGAATCCTCTTAGCGTTTGGGGCAACATCCGCCACGGGGGGTAAACTGGTTTCAGCGCTGAAATGACGAGCCCAGGCCTTACAATTATACCTTGGAGCTTCATTTCAAAAGGAACATCTGGGGCGGGAGGGGGGCGTCTAATCATAAATACAGATAAGAATACAAAGGGTCCTCTGTTACTAATATATTGGAGGGGAGAAATAAAAAAGGAAAAAGTGAAGCTGGAACATTAAGATTCCCACATGGTGTTGCATCCGCGTCGGAGAGCCCAAATAAAAGATCAGATATTAGCAAAAAAAACGGCACAGTGGTTTTGTCTGAACACCCATACCCAAGGACAGGACAACGAGCCAATCAGAGGGCTCTATCCATTACATGTGACAAGTGAGCGAACGAAAGAAAAATAATAATGAGCGTTGGGCGGCACCGGGAGAAGAACACCAGCGTTCACGACCTTAATGCTTCTTAGACACTTCGATTAGTACACAGATGTGTTTTATTCAGGGCACAAAATAGAACGCAGGTGGAACTGGGCTGCAAGCTTACTTCAGCGGAGGAAACATGTGCAGCACTTGAGGCGTTGAAATCTCAGATGTCTGTCTGTATGCAGCAGTTCTTGGGCTGCTGCTGGGTCTGGGGCAGGCGTTGTGCTTGGTGGTTGTCGTTTTCTTTTTGCAGCTCTCTGGTGTTGCTGTGAGAGTCCAGCTCAGCAGGACACACCAGGTTGACATTCTCTGCTGTGATGACACAGAGAGGGGAGAGCTCCGCCCCCTGGCACAGGGAGGAGGTGGTGGGGGAGTAGGGCCCGACGACACCGGCGTGTCCCTGCGAGGAGGACGACGAGGCGGGGCAGCTCTCCAGGCGGTCGTTCTCCACCTCGGGCAGCGGGCTGACGGTGGCAAAGCGAGTGTGGTAGTCGCCCCCCCCCGAGCCGTGGCTGCACGACGTCTTCATACTCTCCAAGTCGGAGCAGCTGAACTCGGAGAAGTGGCTGGAGTGGGAGTCGGCCACAGACGGCAGGCTGCCGCTCAGTGACGGGGAGTCGAACTCAGAGGAGTTGGTGCTGCGCTGCTCCAGCAGCTGGGCGTCCATGTCCTCGCGCGTCTCGTTAATCTTGGTGCCACCGGCGGCGCCTTTCTTGCGCAACTTGCCTATGCTTTTTTTGCCCCCGGAGCTGCAGGAGGAGGAGCAGGACGCCTCTTTGGCCCACTTGGCGGCGAGTCCCTTGCCTTCCGAGGTGGAAGTGCAGCCGGCGGAGGGGCAGGTCCAACCACAGCGGGCGGCGTGGGCACCGTCGTCCATGCTGCTGCTGCCGCTGTGGTGGCGCAGTTTACCGGGTTTGGATTCAATGTCAACCTGGACTTCCATACTGTTACCATCCCTGGAACATGGGAAGAGTGAAGGATGAGAAAGACCAAAAATAACCACAAATAATGTATGTGTGATTCGGGAGCTTCTGGCGACATCACTTAATGCTAAACGCTCTTTTGATAAATACTGGATTCTTTCTCATCGTCAATAAAGTAAGAGTATTTAACCCTTGACACAATTTTAAATTAAAATAAGGTAATGCCCTTCTTTCCTTGCCAAGGACTCACCTGTCGAGGGGCATGTAGGCGTTGAGAATGGATCCAGCCATTGCTTTGGTGCTAGCGTTGTCGCTAATTGTGCCCAGGCTGACGGTGCCAGACTCGCCGCTCAGACTGCAGCGCTCCTTCTGCACATCGGCCTGCACCTCCAGCCTGACAGGTGGGGGTGTGGGGGGGGGGGTGTTGGTGTCAGACAATGCAGGAAAAAGCACAGAGAAGTCAAAAGTGAATTTAGGTACCTGTTTAAGTAGTTGACCATGGCGCTGCCCGACAGGCTGCCAGTGATGCTGGCCCCCGCCAGGGCCGTGGTGGAGGCAGTCTCGCTCAGGTTGTCCCTGATGGCCCCCAGGCGGTCCATGTGGCTGCCGCTGGCACTCAGGCTGCCCGTCAGCCCCCCGACGCTGCCTTCACAGATGCTGGGGTTGTTCCTGGCGTCGGCCACCGACGTGGTATCTGCACAGAAGGTATGAGGCAAAACATTTTAAAAATACAGGGTTCAAAAAACCCGGATTAGGAACAAACACTGCTGTGCCTGAAAAATGAGTGACTGAGGGAATTCAAATGTGCATGATCTCAGTTATTTTTTCTAATAAGCTGAGGGCTTTTTTCTTTCACAGAAGTGGAACAAAGAGAACATTTATCTCGCAAAGAAAGTGTGAAAGAACACTCAAAGTGCAGCAGATTTCATTTATCCGCAGACTCAGTGGTGTTAGTCAGCTGAAGGGACAGTTCTATCGTGAACACTTTGGGGGTGTCAGTGTGGGAGGTGGGACACTGAAACTCACCGGTGGCAGCCGCCCCGCTGCCGACATTCATGTTGTTCTCGTCGTCAAATTCTATGCGGACGCCTTTTCCATTCCCAGCCGAGACGCCGCAGCCTCCACTACGGCACAGCGAGATGGGCACCACGCCGTAGACGTAAGCTAGCATGATGGGAACGCCGACACCTGGGGAGGGGGGTATGTTAGACCAATACATTTCAAATCGAATAACTCAAGAGATTCCTGAAGCTAGCAGCTAATGGAGCTGCTTTCTAAATGTTGCAAGGAATTGTGGGACGGCATCATTTCCGTTCCCTTCAGAAAGTGTATGATGTGCTAAAGCAAGATACCTAAGAATTGAAGCGCCTTTCCTGAGCATTAAGAGAATCCAACTCGCTCCTATCATGGTGGCCACTCACATACGAGCATAGGTCACAGAGATACAGGGAAAAGGAGGAGGAAGTGGACGATAGACTGACCGACAGTGACTGCAGCCACCACTGGAGACACAATGACGGAGAGGGTGACTCCACCGGCGATCACCAGGTTCCTCTTGTGGTTGGAGATATCTTTGCCTTCGTAGCGGTTGTGAATCTGACGGAGAAAAGGGGAGCGATGAGTGGTCCCTCACAACCAGCATCCAAGTTTCTTTGACAAATTTATTTTACATGATCATAGGCTGGAAACAACTGGTCATTCACGTAAAAACAGAAACACCGTCACGCGCTGTAGTCGGCAGGACGGAGCGAGCTCACCACACAGGGAGGCCACAGTATATGAAACAATGGCAGTGAAACCACTTAAAGCACCGCTATGCTAAGCTAGCTGGAAGAGTCGCTAGTTCAACATGACCCGGTGGAATTCTGCCTCCAAGATCAGATCAAATGTGTGTAGTTTTGTGTTTAAAATAACATTAACCACTGCTGTAGTCTGGTCTTGTCAGGGGAAAGGAAACGTTTGTTGGCTCGACTGGCTGCTTCTTGGCAGACTCGAAGGGTGGGGGGATTCCAGAGTCGGAATCACTTTCACATTGGTTGTATTTCAATGACACTCACTCACGCACGCACATGGCAGCCTGCTCATAAGTGACCTGGCTTAAGATAACTAGTATATAACAGATCAGAAAACAAAGTACAGAACACGTGTGCTGCTTTATTACAACATACCGTAGTTATTCATTCAGTCGGTTTCACTGTGATATGGCTGGTTATTTAATGCTTTCATTATCATGCTGTCAATAATCTGCCTCACGCAGGTGGCAAAAGCTCCAACCAGAAAACGCTACACGTGTTCCAGAGTGCTTCCTGTGAGCCTCACCTTCCTCCCCACATACACCGGGATGCCAATGATCATGGCGGGGATGGCAATGCCCGCGATGAGCGCGATGCCGACGGGGGCTCCCACAAGCGTTCCCAGCTGCCAAAGTATCTTCTTCTTCCTGCTCCACGGCTTTTTCCCCCAGAAAGTACAGCCTGACGGACTGAAATTAAATAGAAAGGGCGGGGGGGTGAGGGGGGCCCAAGATCCATACAGTAACAGTAAAACCTTTTCCAAAGATAGACCAGCTTCTCTGCCAAAACACAACCAAACCAGCAAATAAAAGGCGCTGCATGTGTGAGGACAAACTGACCTTAGGTAGTGCAGGTCCGAGATCTCCTTCATGCAGAGCCAGCAGAACTCACAGCCGCAGACTGCGCAGGTCATGTGGTTACAGCTGCCGTCGTTCATCTTGATGATGTAAGCGGCACAGCGCGGACACGGCTTGATGTCGTCGGCTGAGGGCAACGGAAAAGACAATATGACTTCAATGGGCATGATACAATATTCCTGACTGCTAGCAGAAAAACAAACTCAGTCAGGTTACTTCCCTAAAACCTCCTCATGGTGTTGAAGGTGCTGCTCTCCACTGTGGCGCAGATCGGCGGTTCAATCCCCCAGTTATAATGGTTTGCTTCTAATAACTACGCATGGTGCTGCCCGATATGGCCAGAAATCCATATCCCGGTATTGCTTTTTCAAGTAAACACATTAATTCATTGATCCCGAAAAGGACCGCCGGCTACCCGCACAGCGGTTCGCCGCTTGCCCGGCGATGCCACTGGCCAAAGAGCAACGTCCGTTATTATGGCGTAACACTGGCATGAACGGTACGAATGGTGTGATCAACGGCGTGAGGGATCAGACAAACGTGGGTGGCGTATACAGGGGAAAAGGAAAGCGCAGGCTGACCTGCGGCGCTGCTCTCCTGGCTGTAGCTGAGGGAGGACGAGCGGACCGTCCTCAGCCGGAGGCTCTGCGCTCTCTGCTGTCGCGCCGCGTCACACGTCTGGTTGGGATGCCACAGCTGCTTGCAGTGGTAACAGAACTCTGTGTCGCAGCCCTCCCTGCCGCACATGAGCTTGGGACAGCTGGCGCAGCCGAAAGCAATCACTGCGTACCTGGTGGGAGACAAACCCGGCGTTATCAGGAGTGAACCACGGCACCGTGACCTCGCAGAATCCGCTGTGTCTGAATGCACCGAGGTCACGGGAAAGAATGTTGGTGTATGCAAGTGCACATGAAAAACAATAATGCACGCAAGCCGCTAAATGTGAGTCACAAGCAAGTGTGTGCATAAGAGTATGAGCATGTGTATACCAGTAAAAGTCTATGCATAGCAAATAAAAACGGTGCAGACTAAACTAAATCAGAAAAGAGTCAATGCAGCGCTGTGTTCATTTGAGAAATGCTTCGAATGCGTTTGAAAAACTAATTGTTAATTTTGTTTTGCCGTGTCTGGTCACAAAAAACAATGTGCTTGTATAAAACATATGTAATCTAGTTCTAAACAGGACATTTTAAGACTGCTATTGCATATTGGTTCACATCATAAGAGGCACCGCGAGCCAACAGACTGACACAACACCACGTGTGATGATTTCAGCAGACACCGGGAAAAGACCATTCAAAACATATGTCCATCTGCTCAAAGGGCACAGCTGCAGAATACTTGATAGTCGACGTCGTGGGGGAAACCCCAGAGCGGGTGACGTAGATGTATCCAACTGGGGCCTTGCCCCCCCCCCCCGTCACCGCTCTGACTGAACTAAGATTAAGTTTCAATCACAGAGCCTGGGAGACTTCTTCCGCTAAGGATCGCTTTACTCTGCTGAGGGATTGAGTCTAGAATGCACCCGGGCAGAGAAGAAGAGTAGAGGCGTGTTAATCGCGTGTCAACCAGCAGCACTAAACGCTACGCAGACCCGGGGGCTGCAGAGGACGGGTCAGATGTTGGGGCCTGAGAAGATCGTGGCCTTGAAGCTGCAACGCGCCCACTGGTGGAGTGTACCCACCCGAGTGTGTGCGTGCATGCATGTGTCTAGATTGTTGTCGTCGCCCCCCCCCTATATAATGGAAGAGGAAATATTATTATTATTATGTATAATGCCATAAGAGCAGATCTACTTGAGCACAGATATTTAGTATATGGTAGTACATGGGCCAATCTTAACCATATCATGAGAGATAGATTCAAGATTATATTTTAGGAACAGATGAGACAATGTGCAGGAGTTCACAATATAGATTCTACAGCTGACTGTGTGACAGCTATCTTCTCCTTTAATCCTTGAACACCTAGAACAATACGGATAGGTTTATCCAGATGAAGGCCAGTACACAGGATGATTTCAGCCTCTGCCTCATTTTGAGCCAGGAAACACTTTCTGTATATCTCGGTTATATTGGAATTCCTCATATATTTAGTGTATTATTCCAATACTGACCTGGCCAGTAGATAGGACCTGCTCTCACTCCAAGCAGAGTGGGCTAATCGAAGGATAAAGAATATTATTTTATGCTACAGGTATTTCCACTTTTTGCGCCTCTCACATTTTCATCAATCTATTTGTGTCTTTTCTGGTCAAGGTTACAAACAGGACATCCAACAAACAGCTCCAGCTGCCAGTATTCAAGGTCACTATGGCGACATGAAGAAAAGGTACAAACAGTACTTTGAGAAAGTCTGATGGGATTGAAACAATTCCTGGAAGAAAAGGAAATGGCTGTGAGAGACAGAGACAGATATATACAGAGAGAGGGACAAAGGGAGGGAGAGACACACAAAGGTGGAGAGAGAGAGAGAGAGATTTAAACATGATAGAGATGGCTCTATCTAGAGGGTTCTGATTCGACCGAATAAGTCAGTCTGCATCTCTGGTTGACGCCACCACGAGACCTCAATGGTTCATGCTTACACGCTTCTAGGTTCCAGCAGCTTACAACTTTATCCTGAAATATTCTTACACGTGTCTGTGCCATCTAGAAGCATCTCAAATAAAATGTGGACCATACTGCGAGCCTCTGCAGATGGTGCGTGAGCTCCGAACGTGGCGAAGGCGTTAACACTCTCATCTTATCCCCCAAACCGCTAGAGGAACAAATAAGAAAATGTGTGTAGTCCACATACATGCCCATAGTATGTAGGCGTAAAAATCAAACACTGTAAACCAACGTCCAATAAGACCAGAAGGGATGTAACTAACTGTAAACTCCTACTCATGGAGTTCTTGAATTGGCCCTATACATCCCGAGACATAATGCTCTCATCACCGAATACATTGCGCATTTTAAGTTTGAAAAAGTCGGAGGTGCACGACAGGGCGTTGCATTATGTAATTTTCTGGCATATGCCTCGAGCCGGCTTCACTGCAGCGAGTTTTATCTAAGCGTACCTGCTGTGAGTGAAGTAGATTTGACTGAGTGGCAGTCACCTTTGGGCCCTGGACAAAGTCCCAGTGCGGTGGTTATACACAGAAACCGTTAAGCAGTACTGGATCATGGGGATTGTAGCCAAGATTAAAGCTTCCAAGGCTGTGAGGCATGCATACATTTGTTCATAATGAGTGCACAATATTCCTGTTGGAAGTTGCTCCAGTGCGGCCCCCTTAAGGGGGTAGCCTTTGTTGTAAACAGGTTTAAGTAAAAATTGTACCGACTTCCTGGCTGAATGCGTTTTATTATGCTAGGGGGCATACTTTATAGAGCATCCTTAACTAAGTTAATGGACCAGGTCTCTCTGCTCATTGGATGTAGCTTCACTTCTTACCCACAATCCGGCGCGGGGCACCAGCGGCAGTCAGGGTCGGCAACCAGCCACCTCCTAAGCATGAACTCCTCGTACTTGTCCATGAGCGCCCGTTCGCCCAGGATCATGCGGATGTCGTGCGGGTTGTAGCGCTCAGAGCACTCGGGGCAGCTGATGTTGACGCGCGACTCAGAGATCTCAATGCGCAGGTACTGCCGCAGACAGTCGATGCAGGAGCGGTGGTGACAGGTCATGATGTCTGGGAAGCTCTCCCTGGAGTGGCGCAGAAGGCACAGCGGGCACTCTAGCAGCTCTCCCACCGCCACGACCCCCAGCCTGGAGGAGGAGGAGGAGGAAGGCCCAGAGGCAGATGAGGTGGAGACGACAGCAGCAGCAGAGGCAGCGCCGTTCCCAGCCACGGAGAAGAAGGCAGAGTTCTTGTCGTTACACATCTCAGAGTGGATGCTCTCGATGATGGCAATGCCGTCCACCCCTACCAGCCCCAAAGGTCCAGGGAGCTGGAGCTCTCTGGACCTTGGGCGCGCCGATTTGGACTCACGACCTCTCCGCCTGAAGAAAGAGGCCAGGGACAGGCGCCTCTTCTTCGGGGCCTTCTTCACAGAGGGCAGGGAGATGGAAGACGCAGTGGACTGCAGGTCCCGATCGGAGCCAGTCACCTCGCCTCCCAGCGGCCCGGTGCTTCTGCAGGCTCATCTCTGGGGGGGGAGGGGAGGGGTGTGCCAGCGGGGAGCCGGGGCTGGGTAGCCTTTCCCTTGCATGTGCAGGGAGGTCCGGGAGCGGGATGGGGCTTGGGGAAGGGGTGAGGTGGTGGACGGGGGAGGGGGAAGGCGTTCCAGGGTAGGGGGACAGGGCTCCGGAGGGCCCGTCTGCACTTAAGACATGGTGGCTTCTCCTAATCAACCTCGAGGTCAAATCTAACAGCCGGATTTTGGCGGAGGGGTGGGGGTCACCGACGGCAAAACTGATGCAACAGAACCTGGAGAGAGCAAAAGAGAAGGGAGACGTGGAAGAGGACATTTTAATATATGTTCATTCAATCACCTTTATCAGTGTAAATACAGAGGTCAGCTCCTTTGGATTTTCTTTTCAAAGTTTACACAATACAAGAAATGATCAGTTAGCATCTCTGAGAAGAAACATTTTTAATTACGCTTTTCCTTCAACAAATATTCCGAAGCCAATTCATTTCATCCTTCATAAGATTTTAGAGGTTGACCGCTTTTCTGCCTGGTTGATAATTGACTGTTGACCATATTGGAAGCATTGTTTTTTCAAACAACAAATCACTTAAATAAATTGAAAGAATATGCAGCTCAGCGCTTTATCTGGAGCTCCGTAGTTTTGCTCACTGTCTCTTTCACAGCGCCATGTGGCATGTCAGATTGACACAGGTTATGGTCAGGCTGTCCTCTGCTGATAGCAGCAAACAGGAGGAAGTGGGAGATAATGCACGGCCGAGGGTTGGCCCGTTTCTCACGAGGCAGCATTACAAAGACAGCTGTACGGCAAACACCTCTTTGTGTCGTATGGATACTCCAGGTGACATAAAAAGGACATTAACAAGTCACAAGCCGAAGGGTATCAGCTCGAAAACTACACTAAATTAACATGTTGGATTCCTTACAGATCTACTACAAAAGATATAATCTCACGATCATCATTTCACAATTTCCTGGATGACACCGAATGAAACTTATCTAACATGATGCATGTTTGACCACACGCGCACGCATATAATATACGCAGATAATATCAGTAAAGATGGCTTTTGGGACCGATCTGATTAGCACTTCCTGCTCGCTGTACATTTCACACGTTTTGAGTGTGAGATGAACAGAGCAAAAGACGAGGGACTGTAAAGTATAACAGTGCTCAACTGTAGGAGGCCAAAGAAGCTCCAGGCCAGAACAAATGACTGCGTTTGGGAGGTCTATGCATGCATGCATGCTCTGTTTGCATCGTCTGCTTGTTCAAAATGTGCCCAAGAGGAAAAGACCAACCATGCACAGTAGCAGCTTATCCTACAGTTGTAGAACAAACATAGCGGACTGCTTCACCACGGCTTCATCTGTGGCGAGTCAACTCACAAAAGAACGGATGTCTAGGTCTCTCTAACTTTGACCCGGCTTTCCACGAAACTATAGGGGAGTCATTACATCAAGAATGGCCACAGGTCAGATTGAATTAACTTTTTGACTTTCTGTGTCAAACTTATCTAGGTATGTTGTTCTCCTTAGGGTTACACATGCGAAATGTGTCTGGTATGGGATTGTTTACAATAGATTCCGAAAAAAATGAATTAGACAATAAGTATAGTAAGTCCGTCCAGAATACACACACACAAAGCGTTACAGCAGAGCACAACTGTTTTGGCTACAGATCCGTCGGATACACAACGGCTTGTAAAAGTTGGATTCTTTGTAGCAAAATTAGCATCCTCCTCAGAGGATGATCAGCCTCGATGTGAAATGTATAATGTTGGATTACTTTTACTAAATTTGTGGGCTTCTCAGGATTTGGAGGTAATGGGATTGGCTGATATCTAAAAACAAAACAAACATTTGGACGTAGATAAACACGGCCAGGGTGGAAGCCTTAGAGTATCAATGGGCTTCAGAGGCTACAACCTCTACAAATCAACAAAGCTGTGTGAAACCGTGTTTATAGGATCATCACAAACAGGACGGGAAACCTGCATAAATAGTTCTGGGAGTGATTGACGAGGTTTGTCCCACGGTTTTCCTCGATCACAGACTTCTCCTCACCAGGGGCTCTACATCTGTGTTGTGCTTCCTGTTTGTGGGGAGTGGTGATGGGATGTAGAGGAAGGGTGTCTTGTTATTTTAAGGGAGAGTGTTACTACCCACAAATCCAGCTTGCTCACTGAGTGTCCATGCTCATGTGTGTGTTTATCGCTGCCTCTGGTTACACCCTGGCAAGCGGCCATGCAGGGGTTAGACACACAGAGTGGTGCCAACCAACCCACACACACACACCCACCCACACCATAATCTACGCACACGGGCGGGGGCCTGGGGAGCATGAACCCTCACTCCTTCTGTAAAAGGTGCATCATACTTTATAATCATTTACCGTTTCTGCAATTGAGCAACCTCAACAGTCAGTCAATCTGCACTGCTGAACCAAAGAGCGCAAAACCAGCACGGAGCGCAGCACCTCTACGGCTACAGCAGAGCCCCGCTGTGCTTTTCCTCCTCGCTCTAGTGTGGGTTTTAGAAGAGGACGTCGGTTGTGCACTACCAGCGTTTCGGTCACCCTCTTGTTTTGTTTTTGAATCCGGTGAATGGAAGTTCCCATTATTGGACAGTGGGGGAGTGGATTAGAAACAGTGCATACACAGCAGCCCCGCCTTAAAGCATACGCGGAGTCATGGTCCATTTGCTAAATGAACAGCATCATATTCTTATGATACATAAGAATTACATTTTAAGACATCCATTCATTTCACTTTTCCAAACCAGAGGTTCTCCCCTGTGTTGAATATGTTTAACACATATTCTTCCTAAAGCATATACAAAAGCCCCTTTATCAATCGCCCGCAGTACAAACAGTGATCCATAGAGCAGCGTATAGACCGGGTGTGACAAAAAGGTCATGTTTTTGACAACAAAGAACCAAGATGCAAAAAAAAAAGATTAAAAAAAAAAAAAAGGCACAGAAAGCAGCAAAAGAAGGTTAAAGAAATCCAGTGGAAAGGTCCTCCTGCAGATGCATTGTACTGACAGTGAGATATAAGTGTGCAACATGTAGTAATCATCCGTGTGAAAGGATTAGGATTTCCATTCAAGAGTGAAGAGACGACCACAGGGCAGGTGCTTCGTCGTGACCTCAACGTCCGTCACAAGGCTACACCTACAATCAGCCATGGGGTGACCACCCGGGCTTATCGCTGCTGAGCAGATGGCTGTGTGGGGGGAGAGGACTGATGATGCAGGTGGACCGGGCCCAGCTGTCTCATCTCAAAGAACCCGGCCGTGTCCCACTGACTAAATGAAACACTTACGTCAGCTCATGGGCTGCGGTCAGCAGGCTTTCTCGTAAAGTGCCGATTTAAGAACGTTAACTGGATCCAAATTCACACTGTACACGGTGGAACAGGGAGGGAGCGAGAGCAAAGAGGCAGGAAGTGGAGGGGAAGGAATGAAGAGGACTGAAAGAAAAAAAAGGTACAATCAGGATAAACGACAAGAAAAAATGAGCTAGCAAGTAAGAAAAGTACTGGAAAAAAACATTTTGGATGGAGGGAGGCGCGAAATTGTGAGAAATTGTTGACTCCCCAGGACATATTGCTGTGACATGGTAGCTCTCCCCTCTTCCGTTAAGTGACACGCAAAATAAAGTGAAATATGAATAAGAAATGAATGAAAAGACAAAAAGGAGAAAATAGAGCTCCTTTCATTGGCCTGACCTAAACAACACATTCTGGTTTGTCCCTTAAGTATTGGCTAGAGACAGAATTGCATACTTATACCTATAGGGATTATAAACAACATTTTAGCTCAAAAGAGGTGATTACGTGCTGAGGGAAGGCTTGAGATCAGTTTTCACTTTAGGTTGACAGATTTGACGCCGGGAGCCAGACTTACCCTGGTTAGGAGTCACGGCTTGGGCATGGGGACACACCTGGCCACCCAAAGTGTTATGCAGCAACAATGAGAGATTAGTGGTGGACAGACACACGTGGACAGTACAGTAAATGCATGCACAGACATGCGTGACTTCCTGGACCAGATTTAAATGCCATTATCATTTTAAACAAATGCATGGAACTAAAGTCCTCTACTCAACAATCCGATGGCTTTTAAATCAGAGTGCGTTACAAACACAGAAATGGTAAATAAAGATTTTTCTATAAACAAACTGTTGACAAACTGTCCTTTGTTGTTGTAAAATAATGTTTAAAAAGGGGGTTATAGAAAACCCAGTGACGTTCTTTGGAGCAAACCATTTTGTTTTGGAAAAACTATCAAATATATCATCACATTAGAAGTAAAAGGTGGGATCGCTGCGTAGAAAGCACTCTGTTAACTTTAACCTTGATCACGTGTAACCGGTTGTTTTAATAACATGCTATTTCAGCAGCCAAGAAGCTCTTACGATTTGCTCATATCTTGCATTGAGTTTGCAGATTTAATAGTTCTACATTCTCGCTTCCCAAGCAGGATAATATGAACGAAAAGATAATTATTTTACATCCCGTCAAAAAATACCCCTCACATTGCTCCTTTAAGGACAACGGACAAAATGTTTTGGAAATAGCGAGAGGGTGCCAACATGAAACAGTGCTGTGATGACCACAATAACAAAGACAAGGGAAGCCATGACACACGTGACACCACAAAGTTTAAAAGTTGTAAACCTAGGGGGAAACTAAACACTCACAGGTGAGAACATTTTTCATGTTTTATTTGTTGAGTCCCAGAATGTAAAGACCATATACCACGGCAAATAATCACTAACAGGAAAAGAAAATGTAAATAGTGTTGTGAGAATTTCCGCACAACAAACCGAGAAAGCCAACCGATGAGCCGGCAGACGAGCTTCCCTTGGGGACACAGTTTATTGGGCATTCCAGAGAGAGGATCCAGTGCTGACCTCAGCTGACCTGCTTCAGCAGCCTGGGAGAGTACAACTCGCACTAAACAAGCCGAGAACCAGGGAACACTCCACTCTAAAATGCACCCGCACAGATTTCCTCTACCAGGGATTTATTGTTTATTGAGTTCTCTAGAGTCACCAACATAAATGTGGAAACATTCAGTTCATGATCACACCTCAAGCTATTTTAAGATGGACGGACGCAATGACTAAGGCTTAAGGTCTCACTGAATTATATTCCAACCACGTTGCCACGCTGGTTAAACATAAGCCTGGTTCTGCAGACTCTCAACGAAAAGATAATTACAAAAGGGCTAACCTCTCATAGCCAAGCCTCGTCACTTCTGGCGAAGCAACAAGGAGAAGACCACCCGTGGTGACTCAACGTAATTTATTGCACGTATTCCACACAGTTGATGATAGCATTCTCTTCCAACAGTGCTGCCTTTCCACTGCTCAACTCGATATGTTTTTAGGACCGAGTTGCTTTTCCCAAATTACTTTTCCACTGCGAATAGTGCCCCATCAACGCAGGCAGGATTCTTAGCTTGTCGTCATAGCAACGCCAAGTAAAAAGCCACGCTATCCTCTTGCTGGATCATTTTTGTTGGTTACTAAACAGAGGAACGCCAGAAACCTTTTATTGGACCCGGTAGGGGGGAGCTAGGAGATGTCTATTTAAAAAGGTTGAATTTGTTCTGTGTCGTGCAAGTGACGACTCAAGGGGAGATTCTTCTTAACCAATGAGTGTTTCGACTCCACCTTTTAGTGCTCACTTGGAACGTTGACAGAGATGAAAGCCAAAGAAACACTTACGATGCACAACAAGAATTCCATTGGCCAAACGGTTCAGCATTAGGGCTGTCAACGAATATTCTATATTCGAAGACAAAGATCATCACAGATCTGGAGAAGCGGTATAGCGATGAAAAGGATGCATTTATGCTGCTTAACAAAGCGAATTATCTGGATCCACGCTTTCATCGCCTCATTCATTTAAAAGAGGAGCAGAGACGGCAGGTGCAGGTGGCTATACTGGGGGAGATGAAACAAGCCAATGTGGCCCGGCAGTGAGGCCGCTACCGGACAACCCCGTGATCAGCCACCCGCTGAGAAAACTGCTTTAACTGCTATGGGGTGTCTCTTCGGAGACACGTATTGCACAGACAGCCCAGACCAGGACATCGATCTGCTGCTTCGAAAAGAGATCTACAAGAGTCTCCAATACCTGCTCAACAAACTCCTCTTATGTGGTGGAAAACTTTGGGCTCTGGGAGATCATCTGGGGGACCCTCACGTCGCCCAGATGGCAAAGAAATATCTTTCCATCCCCGGATCCTCAGTCCGCTCTGAACGCGTCTTTTCCTCCACTGGGAATATAGTCAATAAAGAGAGATTAGCACTGGCCCCTTCAAATGTGGACTGTCTTGTGTTCTTGGCAAATAACCTGTAAGCCTTCAGGCCTGAGACCCGACAATGACCGTGCACTGAAAGTTCCTGCAATCTGTGACAATGGAATGAATTGTATAACTATGTTTAAACTTAAATAAACTACCTATACAAGTAGTTATGTCTCGTTGTATACATTTTTCCTGTTATTGATGTGCCTTAATGCGCAACCAGATATTTGAATATTCGAACGTCAATTTTGAGCAATTTTAACAGCCCTATTTAGCATACACCTAAGCTTAGTCAAAAAGTTAGGTGTGGTAAATGTGGTCACAGTATTTGTTCGGGGGTCACATGAGTGTCGCAAAGGAAACCACCAACAAACAGGGGATGAGAGGTACACCGAGGGACAGGCAGAGACCATAGGTTCAGACAGGGACAAGTACGTGGGGAGGTGAAGACCCCTTGGGACAAGAGTGATAGCAAGCAGATAATGACACAGACACATGCAAGTGTGAGCAGTGACAAAAAAAATGCAGCAGCTGAGCTGGTGCATTCAGCCAGTCGGTTTCAGTCCGACTGCATTCCCGGCTGGTCTGTCTCCTGTCTCCTGTGTAAGGCTGCCTCTATGCACATTCCTGTGATTGTTTGGGCTGGTGGGACAGCCACTGCATTACTGAGGCTTCCCACTCCATGATGAACGAGGCACATGGAGCCAACCTGGTGGCAGGCCAGCCGAGCACTGACTGACAGATGTGGGGTGGAAGTCACGGCACTCCTCACAAGTGCGTGGAACAAGCGTTGTGCTCGCTGGCTGTATCTATATGAGGGCCTGAAGACAACACGAGGAGGTGGTCACACATTTGGTTTTGAGTCCAACCCTACGAGATAGGATTGAGGATGGTGCAAACAAGTACCACAACGGCAGCAGCAGGAACAGGGGAGGCATTGTTGAGTGCACAAAGAGGCAAGGCTGGCCGACGGGGAGAAGAACTGCAAAATAGTTTCCAGCCTCACCAAGCCAGTACAGTTTGCAGCTGCCCCCCCTCCCACTACACACAAACTTCACTCAGTGGGGAGGAAATTAGGTAAGCACACTGGCATTTCAGCTCAGCTGAAATGCTAAAAGCTAGGGGAGAGGGAGTGGAATAGAAAGGAACGGACTGGGTGATATATTCCCCTTGGTAAGACTTGCTGGCCTGATACACACTCAACATCCTTTGGGGCCGTGTGAATGAATGACATTCGGTGTGACGGCCGTGTCAAATGTTATGGAAATAAAAACATGCCATTAAAAACCTGACAATGGTTTTTATTACTTACTTCAGTACTCTGTACGACCAATTGACAAGTGTTCATGCAAGTCATGTATGTAAGTGCATAATAAATAGATTTATTCTGTTGTTTTTTTAATGTCATGACCCGAATAAATGATCAATTCACAGAGTCAACCCTGCAGTCGTCCTCCCCCCGTTAAGCCCAACTTACTATGTATCACAAGGTGATTTCTCCTCTTTGTCTATGAGAAAAAGCCTACTTCTCTCTTGATTTATTCTCTCAGAAAACATAAGTGTTTCCCGTAGGTTTACAGCCTTTGAGATGCACGCTATCTGTCCGCTGGTGGGTGTAGGAAAACATTACTTTATGATCTGAATATCTAGTTAATATCTAATCTAAGTCTTCTAAATGAACATCCTGCTGTATTGAAGTAAATGATGGTTGATGAAGTAAAACAAACCATAAAGTAGCACATACTAGGGAAGGGCTAATGTGATTAACAGAGTGTCCAGATTCACTAAGTCGTCCTCCGCATTCCAAAGAGCAAACACGGTGACGGCTATATTCCAAGACAGCCAAATCAACTAACTCAAGGCTTCATAAGTCAACAAACCAATGGGTGGCATCACAATGACTGTTCACTTCCTACAGCAGATAGGTCGAACAGTCCCTCAGCCTCACTCCCCACAGAAGGACAAACAAACCAGGCAGTCATCTGTCTCCATTCCTTTTGTCCATCAAATACACATAGAAAACAAATCTGTCCGTTCTTTTCAAGTCTGACAGGGTCAAACTCCAATCCCACTTCATTGCATAAATGATATACATGGAGGCAGAGCACAATTAGGTAGGTGCCTGATCATCCAAGTTGCATAATTGCAGGTCATAATCAATGACAGCACCCTGATGTGACCCAGCCGCCACCACCTAGCAGCTGTGTTTACCACGGCCCTGACAAAACACATAGAGCATACAGGCCAGGTGGTCACGCTGGGCTAATGACCTTTCTTTGGCAGAACCCAGGTCTGGACAACATGCTGTTAAGCCATGGGAGGTCTTTGACACCCAACCCAAACACCGATTACTCTGAAGGGCTGCCTCCAGCACACACACACAAAAACATCACAAGTGTGGCCTCATCAGCGTGGCGAGGAGTCCATTGGAAATCGGTACTGCATCCAGCAAAGATGGTTGGGTCAATTCTAATCAGATAGACCAGCATCAGTCGGGGTTCCTCTGAAAGACAGACCGCTCTTGTTGCAGAAACAGATGTCCGGTTGACATCAGGAACCATTTGGAGAAACAATTTTTGACCTTCGGCTGTTCATCAATGAAAAACCTTTTATTGTGTAAAAAAATAGGGACAAAAAAATGTCTTTCAATATTAGTTGGTTTTAAAAAAAAAGGTACCAGTATATATATATGTATGTATGTATCTACATATAAATATACGTCAATGTGGGAGCTATTATTTAGTTGTTTAATCTTAAATATAGTTTGGTTAATTGGACCACTAATTGGGTAATACTCTGGGCACCTGGAGGTTACTTAAGGGCATAGCCAGGTAGGGACCAGCATGCACCTGGGTGACTAATAGTTACTTACCAGTGAGACAGCGAGGCAGAGCACTGCATAGGAAGGCAGCCATGTTTTATTGTATGTGTTTGGTGGATTCTGTAAATAAATGAGAAACAACAAAAAAAGATCGCCTGGACAATACGCTTTCTTACTGCGTGAAAGGAAACAAAACTAGGTGCAGACGTGGCCCTTTGACGGTAAAAGATTTTTTGGTCCTAAGGACAAATGGCCACTACACATCTATAAATACATGATATACAAAAATCACCATGCTGGTACGGCTGTTTGCTGCAAGTAAGCGGTCTAGTCCTCTGGACTTCAAACCTGCTAATCCATATTTGCGTTGAGTGACTTATATGAACTGAATGGGGATCTCCATCTTTATCTGAAACCAGTAGAAGTGTTAAACTCCCACCAATTTCTCATGAAAGAAAGTAGGGATCAAGCACATAGCTGCCCACCGGAGACATTGGTGAACTCAAACACAAATCCGCGTTTTACATTTCAGTTGACCGTGTCGACAGACACAGCGTTAGCGGAGTCTTTATACTTTAGTAACGTTACATCATAACATTTGCTCTCCTGCTGCTTTTATCTCGTCATGGCAGCAATTAGAAAAAAATCAGCTTTGTATTTCAAGTTACACGCTGCTGCCGCTGGTTAGAAAAAAAACAACTCGTCCTTATATTTACTAATTATATTAACATTGCCAATCAGCTGTGATGTGATTCCAAATGAAACCAACTGTAAAAATATCAACAGTTGGCGTTGTTTTTCTTTAGGTATCAGTTGTCATACCAACAACGTTACATTAATAGCTACCGTTTGGTTAGCTGGATAACGTCAGCGTTAGTTCATTGTGTTTCATCAGCAGCTGGTACGCGTGTCCAAGGAGCAAAACAGGACACATAACCTCAATAAAATAGAGCCACGCGTCACTAGAAATGTCCTGTGGGTCTCCGAGCTAGCCGTTACCAGAGAGCCAGTCTGCTAACCAACGTAAACTGTGACCTGAACTGAAACACAGCGACCGTTAGCAGTTGGCTAGCTGGGTTAGCAAGAAACGATGAGAACGTACCGTCTGTTGCGGATGCCACTAGTTCCGCAGACAGTAGCAGAGACGAACGGAAACCTGCTGCCTTCTAAAAATGGTTTCCAGTAAAGGAATCGGTGACTCCGGTGCTGTGGGGTGAATGACTTCCTCGCTGCTACTAGCACTTATTTTTCCTGTCTTCGGTCCCACCTCTCCGCTGCGAACGACGTCGCGTCGGCTCCCACAGAGCTCCCCCTGTTCTTTGAGTTCTCGTCCTGGCTGAGAAATTCAAATCGCATCGCGAGATTTGGAGCGAAGTTTCAAAGGCCTCCCTCCATCCCTTAGCTTGTGCAACATTTTCACCAGAACTCCTTTGTTATGTTAAACTATTATTGTAATACCGTACAATTTCGAATTATCATTATCAATACTTCACGTAAACGTAACCAATCATCTATTTTTTTAAAAGCATCCCCTTATACATTCCGTTACTGTATTAATAACTTTGAGGATGAACATTATTTTATGTATTACAATAAATATGTTGCATGCTGAAGTGAATATATACATTAAAGTTGAGTGCTGAGCTCCCTCGTGTCCCTTACATTACTTGCATAGTTGGAAAATAGCACCTTTTTTCAATAATTCATATACATCAAATATTTGGTTGGTTGGTTGGTTGGTTGATCGGCAAACTGGGCAGCCCCAGGCGGACAAAACTGAGCTACAGTGGATTACATCAAAGTAGAAGTCCCAAAACAGACTGTGGAATTCATATGATTGCAGGAATCGAAGGTAAACTTTTTTTTTTTTTTGAAAGTTACGTTAAGTGTGCAACAAAAACAAGGGTCTTTACATTAACTTATTATCAAACTGTGGAAATAGAAGATTTTACTAGAAATCCTCTGGGAGCCAGAAACTGACAAGAACAATGGGAGTGAAAGCTGCATAATCCTGTGGAATCCCTGCAGAAAGTGGCTTCTGGTCAACCTTTGTAGCACCTTTTGAAATATGTTCCACCTTAAATAAGGGCTGATGTTGAACCTGGGAGGGTTTGTGCTACAGTGTGGAAGAGTCTGCAGCCTCTACAGGGATGGACGCTGTGTTACTATTTTAAATGGTTTGTCGGTCAATTGATACAGTAAAATCAGTAAAGGAAGCATTGGTGATGTGAAAAAGATCCCTTTCCAACCTGAAGGGAGTTTTTCAATCACTCAGTTGGAGACCCATTCCAACCAGAGCTTTCCCTCTTATTTCTGCACAGCCTACTTCCTGTTTTACAGCAGTCTGGAAAAAATAATTAAAACGTGGAAAGTCCACTTTATAAATGTGTGAAAAGAAAACAGGTTTGTTTGCATTTTCTCTGGTGTTCTCAGGTTACAAGTCAATAAGCAGCATGAAGCAAGAAGCAGCTTTTCTTGAAGCCAGTTTGCCTAATGAGCCGGTAGCTAACCAGAGCGCCTTTATCGTCATGAAAAACAAGGATTTGACAGACTTTCTGGAGCACTGCTATATTTCTGATTTTATTAATCACTAGCCATCAAAACATTGTTTTTTTAAATCAGCTGAGGGCAATAATAAATTCAATTACATGTTTTACAATTAAACAATGATAAAATAAACTTATTTCATTTATTTAAAACATGCCATGTAATATAAATGTTTGAGTTTTTTTTAATTATCCCAAATAATAAATTGACAGTAAGCTTCAAAAAATATTACCAGAAGTGTAGTTTTGAAATTTAGAAAAAAAACATGCTTAAAATGTATAGGTTAAAACACTCTAGGCTTAGTTTGTTTCTGTAGCTTTCAGTTAGTCACTTTTCCCATAATACCCAGGCACATCATTGGATGGAGCCACGTTTTTTCCATTAATTAGGTTGTATCCAAATAACTAATATTTCAATTTAGCTGACATTTCTTTACTGAATATAATACTAGTCTCCAATTATTTGGTCCAAATCTTGTTCACAAAAAGAAACACTTGCAATTTGAATGATCTATAAGTTAGGTTCCACAGCTGGATGCGTCCACTCAGTGACATGTGCATGCAGTCCTTCTTTGTGTGAATATTGAGTAAGAACTGCATACAATGTAGCCATGTGACCACAGCAGTCATATAATGTAATCACCCAGAGGATATATAGTCCAACAAGGCTGCAAATCACAGGACAAGGGGGGGGGGGCGCTTGCTTCAGGTATTCACACATCACAACTTTAAGGAAATACTTTGTGATGTACTTAACACTAGATGAAAGGGACACCTGGTGGAGGACAACAGAACTGCACTTCATGCGTTGCAAATCAGAGCCGCATTCCAGTAACGTGCTGCATGCAGTCAGCTGGGACATACGGCTTCCTTATAGCATGCCACCTTCAACGTTGTCACTCTTGCTCACAAGGATTGTGGGTAAGAATAGCCAGAAGTGCAGGATGGCTTGCATGCTGCAAAGTGAGACCAGATGCAGTAGAACATGCTGGACTTTTTTGAAACAATGACAAGGTATTGGGACAAGAATGTCTTTGAGGCATACTGAACAGTATGGACATGCAGTGTGCAGTCACTTTTCACTGCAAACCTCAATAAACATCTGCCCAATCACCAGTGTTCAAGGCTGTCAAAAAGGGCAAGAATAGGAGTGATTACTGTAGATATTAAAGATAACCCGACAATTAGTGGCTACAACACTCACCTTCAACCGCTTATTCTGGGATGGTTCTTGGGGACAACAGCTCCAGCAGGGGAACCCAGACTTCTTTCCCAGCCACATCTACCAGCGCTGACTGCTGTGTGGCGAATCTGCCAAGTCCCGGGACTAGGGAGGCGCCATGGGGATTTCCTTACCAGGTGCCTAAACCACCTCCATGTTCTCCTTTCAACGCAAATGAGCAGCGGTCCTACTCCAAGCCCCTCACGGGTAGCGAACATTCTCACCCGATCGCTAAGGGAGACGCCAGCCACACTCGAGGAAACCCATTTTGGCCGCTTGTACCTGTGGCCTAGTTCTTCTGGTCACAACCCAGCAATCATCTAAGGTGTAGGAGCTTTGACTGGCAGCGCAGCTCTTCGTGCAATGCTGCCCCACTGATCAAATTAAATAGAGGCTTGAATTTTGAATGAGAATTTTATTACAGCCAGCAGTTTACAATACAAATCACCTTTCATAATGCTCAGCTATCACCTTCCTGAACACGGCTGATATTCTGAGCACTGACATAGTAAAATGACATAAAACAGAGGAATGCATTCAAATGTATGATCTCGATTTTTTTCTTCTATTTTTCAATTTTTTTTTTCCCAACAAATTTTTGTTTATGATCAAGGTCTAGTTTTATCATCTCTAGACCTGGCAGATTATTTGTGTTCTTTTTTTAAGAAATAATTTATCATTTTTCGATGTTTTCAGAGTTTTAGGTTTTTCAATGTTTAATATTTTTTTCGCTTTTTCCATCGGTGAAGCAGGTTTCAATCTGGGGGACAAAAAGAACAAAGTTTTAAACTTCTGTCATCTATGCATTATCTGATGCCAAAAATAAAAATCCCCAAACGCACCTTAGACGCTGGGAACCCCAGCAGGGGTGGTGGACTTCTGAGCAGCCTCCTTAGCCTGGTGGGCCTGGAGCACAGCAACAGCCTCATCCACCTGAAACAAGACCACCGTGAATGAACCACTGCACAAAGAGCATTTACATGGTACTCGTTCAGGAAGCGGCTAGCAATCAGGCTCGCTCTACGTGAACGTGAACAGACTTTTTTCAAATGGCTACTCGGGACATCCAACAGCTTTGCAACCAACTGACCTTTGAGCGCAGCGACTCCGGGGACTCGAGCATGTGGAGAAGTTCAGAGTTGTCAATTTCCAGCAGCATACCAGTGATCTTGCCAGCCAGGCTGGGGTGCATGTTCTGGATCAGGGGGAACAGACGCTCACCTGAAGGAAGAACAGCAATTAACGATCGCCTTTAATAACAGGATGAATGTGTCGAATAACGCGTTGTGTTCGTTAGTTCCCTGTACATCTGTGAGCAGAGTATGTACTGACCCAGCATCTGCTTCTGTTCCTGAGGAGGGGCAGCAGCCAGCATGGAGGCTGTCAGGGGCTCTTGTCCTTGGACATGGACAGCAGGCTAGATTTGAGTGAAGGGACAAATAATTATCACCATTTCTATACAGAATAATTCAATGAAGTAATGGGCATTGTAAATTATGTACACATTGGCCATGAGCAGTCAGCACAATAGCTATAAATGCTAATGGTCAAAAAGCACATACCTGCTGCATGTTGACCTGTGGCTGGGACGCCATGTGCTGCTGAGGGTTGCGCACACCAGCGGCATACTTGTACTGGGGCATGGCTCGCACTGGGGCGGCAGTGGCTGATGCACCTGTGGGGCGCTGGCCCAGGGCCTGGGTGGCTGGTGGAGAGGAAGTATTTTTAAAAGCTGTTTCTGGGAAAAACAAGCAGTGACAATGTAAGAAAAACACTCAGATCTGAAATACTTACGCATGCGCTGAGACGCCATCATGCGTGGGACCTGGGCGTTAGGGGTGGTGGTGGGACGGATGGTGTTGAAGGCCTGGGGTCTGGGAGCTGATGGGCGCATGGCATTGGGCATGTTCTGGAAGTCTGAAAAAAGGAAACCTCATTAGAGACTCACGTAGAAGAGATCGGTGCTAGTTAACAATTCAGTTACAACACCACTTGGGCCATTCTTTTCACAGAATACTGCGTTTGTACTTACGTTGAGGACGCACTCCTTGAGTGGCCCAACGGGGGCTGGGGCGGAGCTGCGCCAGCTGGTTGGCGGAGTAGTATGCGGCACGGTTCTGGGCCTGAGACGGGAAAATGAATAAAGATTGCGTTTAGAAACACTGGGTAACGCCATGGTAACAACGCAGCTTCACCTCTGCTAAACAGGATTTAAAGTAGGCAGTTACATGGGTGCGAGACTCACCTGAGGTATAGCCGCCATGAAGTAGCCCGAGGGGGGGGCGGGCTGATATGGGTTGAGGACAGGGTTGGGCACAGCACGAACTGTGGCCATCCTCTGCATGTACTGGTTTGTTAGATGGGCTTGACGCTCCTCCTTACGCTGGGCCAGGGCCACATACAGTGGCTTTGTGGCAACAATGCGTCCGTTCATTTCTGTAACGGCCTTTGTTGCCTCCTCTGGGGAAGAGAAACACACAAAGCCAAAGCCTTTGCTGCGGCCCCCCTCCATCATCACCTATAGGAGAATTAACGCATTAGAATGGATCCCGTTGAAACCATCAA